GATGAGAGGTATCACCAAGAAAGGTGACAGAATTGCTGGAGTAGGAAGCCCAAGCTGAGTAGCCTCCAAAGCAGCTGCAATAGAAAGAAGATCATCATCGCAGATGGAGCTGGTGCTAGAGGCCTTGTCACCAGTTTGTGTTGCCACTGGGGTAATGGGCATTTGTGGTGTATTTAATGTTGGGCTGGACAAATGAGTTATGAGGAGTGTATTGTAGGATGGAAGCACAATGGAGAATGTGGAGCCTGGGGACATAAGCATCATATAGTAGCTCTAGAAAAACCATTGGAAATCCGTTGCTCGAGCGTTGTGGGCAGCTATGAGGGATGATCACTAGTGATGACAGAAGGGAGCCTTTTTTGTTGGGGAAGGCGGTGTGATGAATGCTATCAGAAATAGTCTTTTGTGGCAATCTGTTTGAGTATGAACAACATGTTGCCAACATCATCCAAGGATGGAGGACGATCAACATCAGGTGTCCTGAGGTGTCTCAGTTCTTCTAAGATCTGTTGCTGTTATTGGAGGAGAAGAATATGATACTATTGCATTTCCACCAATCACTATACCTGTCAATTTCTCCCTTGGAACATGAGCTGGACAAGCCATGTTGATGGTGCAAGCATGATCAATGACAAGAACAGCATAAATCTTGTCGAATCTGACTCTGGCAATCCCAAGCTTTAAGAGCATATCCTTCTCTAATCATGCAAAAAAGTTAAGCAAGTGCCAAAGTCTTGCTTTTGCATCTTGTGCTATAAGTTGCCTTTGAGTCCTGAAACAAAGGTTGTGACTCCATAGCGCTCTTTTGTGACCACTTGGCTTGCCACACACTCCTAGTAAGAAAAAGCCTTGTGATATACTCGTGCATTTGCTCCTTGTTGGAATGCAAAGAGATCCATGAACAAGTGCTTTAGTTTTATATGCAAATAAAATGTATTTCGTTACTTATTTCTATCCAATTAATATTTGAGTTTTCATATATATAAATGATATAATGTTTAAACATGTTTTAGATCCCACATTTAATATTCCGTTCTATATATATATATATATATATATATATATATATATATATATATATATATATATATATATACATATACATACACACTTGGATAAATTGAATCAATGATATAGTGTTGAATGCTAGTGGCTGGGTTTTTTTATCCAAGAGGGCTTCGTCCACAGCGACTACCACAAAAGTCCAGCTTCCATAGTGTTTCTTTGCCAGATCCTATGAGGAAGATTTGGTTGGTATGTACGATCCTTGCAGTTGTCATAACTAATCCTGCTAGAGTTTCTGACGCTTTGGAGGTGGATCCACAAGAGCACCCATAATCCGACCATGGTACTCTTCCCTGCACGCCACATCTCGCTCAACATCCTCAACACTCCACTTCAAACACTCATCTCCGATCACAATCTTCATGAGTGCCTCAAACAGCTTCAAAACACCAACATTCGTGTGTATGGCGACGTTCAGGGATGGTAGACAGAAGTTCTAAGAAAAAACAAATGGTCAAGACAGACAACCGACTGGAAGCCCGAAAGCTATCTTACTCGTTTCTCGATAAAAACCTCAGCAACAAGATACCGACCATCCGGGTAGTCGATTTCCGGATATGAGCTGCAGTTTTTGCGCATAAGATCCCACCCGCAACTTAGCTTCTTTTGAAGATCGTCTTTGGAAAACCGTAGCTCGACGTCACCTTTCCTGTGCAGGTGCATCTATCGGCTCTTCTGCTGTTTCTTGAAATCTGCATCACAAGGCCAGAAATACGGTGAAAACCGGAGAATGAAAACTTAAAACGTGGAGTACCTTCGTAGGACTCATCGGTGATCGCAACTCCCAGAAGACTGACCGATCCGTATATGTCAAGCACGGCGTAACTTCAACGATTGAAAGCCCATTGCATGACAAAGATCGGAGCCACGCGTTCCTTGTGGAGATTAACAAGTCCTTCCTTGCAAGCGTAGGCCAGAGCTTGATAGATCGCATCCTTCTCCAGCGTTTTCGTTTCTCCAATTGCCAAAACCGTGACCCAGGGGTCGTCGAAGTCTCCAAGCTTGAACACCCGAGGATCAAATACTTTGACAAGGAGATCCTTTCTCTTGATCCCTGATCAGTTCCATCGAGAGACTCTGCTTCGGATGTATCAGCTTCGTCGTCATCGTCTCTTTCTTTGATCTAGGAAATCATAACTGAGAAAATTGCAAGACTTGAGATGGATCATACCTCTGATGCAGTTTCCACTTTCATGTCTTCCTCTTTGTAACCAGCTTTCAGTTCGATGACCTCAGCTTCTTGAGCTGAGTGGTCATTTCCTTTGTCTTCAGTTTCCACAAAGCTAGCGTTGACTTCCAAGCCATGTCTGTAATTTTCCGATAATGCTGATGGCTTGGTGAGATACCAAAAGGCCATCAATAATAACTTAGTGCAAGACTTGGCTACTCTGTGCAGAGAATGAGACTATAAGTGAAACATGGAATGCGTGCTTACCGGCTGGAAGTAATGAAGTGGCGGAGAAGGGCTCTCTTCATCGCGTGCTGCAAAACCTCGTTGGGCATTCTCCTGCTTCGCACCTTGTCCGTGGATGGTGCCTTAGGGACGAATGTGACCAGGGGCTGGTTGATCTCGAGGAATTTCCTCGTGTACTGATTGGGCGGGAAGAGCACGCTGCGCCATCTCAATTCCAAACCCTAAAATCACAAATCCAAACCCTAAAAAATTTGGATAAACAAATACGTCATTATATCATTATATTGGGCCATTAAATTAATGTTAACGATTAGGGAATGTAGCTCAATTGGTAGAGTATCTACGTTGCAAGTAGGGGGTAGGAGGATCGATACCTCCCATTTCCAATACTGTTTTGTTGAAAACATTCCGCTCTTTTTGTTAACCTTTTGATGCTCCAAGATTCCTTTCTTTTGCTCCGAGACTATTCGCGATCCGGGAGTCTCCATCGAGCAAAGCAAATCTTCGACACATTGCCGGAGAAGACGATCATCGCGTGGAACACACTTCTCTCAGCATATTCCCGAACAGGGCATCTAGCAGATGCGATACTCATGTTTTATTCCATGCCCCGACGAGACACCGTCTCTTATAACACAGTTCTTGCAGCTTATGGGAGATCGAAAAAGATTGATGAGTTGAAGTCTCTTTTTGATCAAATACCCTCGAAAGATCTCTTGTCATGGACTTCTCTAGTGACGGCATATGCCCAGAACGGACATATAGGTCTTGCGGTAGAAGCCTTTGATTCTATGCCACAGAGGAATCTGTTTGCCTGGACGGCTCTCCTATGCATCACTGGGAATATTTCCCTGGTTAAGAATATCTTTTCGTCTATGCCGGAAAGAGATACTGTCTCTTGGAACGCAATGCTAGATGCATACGCCCAAGAAAGAGATTTTGGAAGTGCAAAAGGAATCTTTGATACCATGCCCGAGAGGAATCTAGTGTCTTGGAACAGCCTTTTGCTGGCTTTTGCCGAGGCACAAAAGCTTGAGAAATGTAACGAGACATTCCTTTCTATGCCAGAGCATGATCTGTTTTCCTGGACTACGATTCTGTCTTTGTATGCCCAGTGTGGGTTTGTGGAAGATGCGAAACGGATCTTCTTTGACGTTATGCAGGAGCACAACTTGGTATCAATGAATTCCATGCTTGCAGCGTTCTCCAAGGCTGGCCGTGTAGAATGTGCCCGACTTTTCTTTTATGAAACGATGCCGGTTTGGAACATTGTGTCCTTGAACACGATGCTCTCGGCATTTGCTCAAAACAGTCGAGTTGACGAGGCCAAGAAGCTATTTTTGAAGGAAATGCCCTACTGGGATCTAGTTTCATGGAATACGCTCTTGGACGGGCTTGCCCAAGGCTCGTATCCGGAAGAGTGCGCCAACTTGCTCAAATCAATGCCACAAAAGAACATTATAACTTTAACTTCTATGCTTACTGGCTACTGCGTGTCTCAACACATTGGTCTAGCAAAAGAATTCTTTGACAAAATGCCTGAGTGGAACCTTGCAACGTTAAACTGCATGCTAGCAGCATTTGCCGCTACAGGGCATCTGCTGGAAGCAGAGGAACTCTTTCGTGCAATGCCGGACAAGAGCGACGTGACCTGGACGGCCATGATCCTCGCGTACGGACAATGCGGTCTTGCGTGTGAGGCCATGAAAACCTTGAACGCCAGCCCGGAACAGTCCGTACTGTCTTGGTCTGCCGTGCTTGCCGCCCATTCGCACAACACTTTCGCGAGGAACGATGCCAGGACTCCCACCGCTGGAGATTTTGTCGACCAATTCAATCTTTTCAAGGTGGTCTTCGAGGAGGCGGACGAGTCGTGCTTCGTCCAGGCGCTGCTGGCATTCACTCACGGCGGGGAACTGGAGGCGTGCCGGCGCTGCTTTGCGTCGATGCGCGAGGATTTCTTCCTGGAGCCCAAGAAGCAGCACTTCACCTGCGTCGTGGACGCACTTGGGCGGGCCGGATGCGTGAGAGACTCCATGGAACTTGTGCTGGACATGCCCTTCGCGCCAGATTCTCTCGACTGGATGTGCGTCCTCGCTGCGTGTAAGTTCCAGCTCCAGCTCCAGGGCGGGGAGCTAGGAATTCGCGCAGCTCACGAGGTTTTGGAACTGGATGGCGAGAACGCTGCAGCGTATGCGCTGCTCATCGCCAACATGGTATCAATCTGGAGCTAGAGAGATTGCCGAGATCGATTGGATCGAGCGTGGAATTCGAGGGAGTGATCACTGCCCACGTGAGGAAATGCCGTTTTGCGATGACCCAGATGCTTAGAACTAACGGTGGTCGGATTGGACCCCAGCAACTGTGTCGTAATCGTGATCTCACCACGACCGTTATATTACTTCTGGGGTCTCTCAAACCAAAGTGTTTGATCCATTTTACCGCGAAACCGAAGTGTTTGATCCATTTTAGCGCCAAACCAAAGGAGGAGACAGTGGAATCAAGGAATCAAATCACTGCGAAAAAAAAAAAACAGAGATAATCGCGAGACAACAATGGAGGTTTCCTCCTTTTGGGGACCGAGAGGACGCATTTGCAGAGCACTGAATCATGCATGTACAAGCCCAAAATTCGACCTCCATTCTTGTTCTCCATGTTTCAAGCAAAGATTAAAAAAACACCAAAGCTTCTCTGAATCGAACAAGGTTCCTGGCGATTCTCTCGCGACCCCTCTTTCTTTTCTTGTTTCTTTTGTTGGGTGTGAGAAGAGAAAAAGACGTAGAGCATTAGCAAGGGGGGGAAGAACTTGGCCTCTCTCCATTCTCTCTCTCTCTCTCCGTGGCTTTAAGCTCTACCTCTCTCTCACACACACTTACACTTGGTGATTCGCGCTGCGCAAGAACAGCGACGCCGCACAGCGAAAGAGTTTACGGGAATATTTCGAGAGCTTCCTTCTTCCTCGAGGACTGGAAAGAAAAGAACCTGGCAAGGGAGATTTTAATGTCAATGCAATGAATGTAGGTGCTGTTACCTCCTGCTGCTGCTGCTGCTGCTGCTGCTGTGATCGATCCAGGACTTTTGCTCCAGTTCACTGCATCTCTCCAGCGTAATTGTCTCTCTTCTTTGCAACAACCTGAGAATGATAGACAGTGGCCTTTCTTCCTCCTTTTCTTCTTCCTCCTCCGGCCTGAGCGATCGAGCAAGACCTCTTGTTCTAAGATGAGCGTGAGCTCCTCCTCCTCTTCCTCCTCCTCGTGTCTCTGCGGCGCGTGTTCTTCGAAGAAAACGTTTGAGCTCGAGCTTGATGGTGTAGAAGTTGATCCACGGAGATCCGCCTCGGATGGTTCGTCTGATCGCAGCGTCTCGGATCCACTGTTCATGGTAAACTACTTCGACTGTGCTTCGCTCACGCTGCTGGCTGTGGTGGCCGTCCTGGTCGTTGTCCTTCCCATTGTTCTACCACCACTTCCACCCCCGCCTCTCTTCCTCATGCTCGTCCCTCTCATCATCTTCGTGCTCTTGATGGGTCTCGTCTTCATGCCTTCGAGGCTTCCTCCAAGCATCGTCATGTAGCCTTGTTCTTCTTCCTCTTCCGTCTCCGTTGCTTCTCTGTCGTCGATCATAGCTTTCTCTGGTATTCGTCGATCGTAGCATAGCAGCGGCAGCAGATCTTCACGGTTTAGGAAACAATGGAGCCTTTGATCGCAAGAAACTCTAGTTAGATCCGAGCAACGAAAAGCAAACCAGGAAGATATACTTACAGATTATATATCATTTCTACAAAAAACCAGCTGCCGGGAAGCTATAGCACAAGCCCCTGAAGCTCTGGCTCTCTCCCCAAGTTGAGAGGAGTTCTATAAATCATCTGCTGAGGTTCTAGACGAGTTCTGTGGATCACGGCTGAGAATCCGGAGTCCTCTCGTGTTATCATGGTCAGGTTCCCGTTTCGTCTCAGCCCCTCGATTGGATGGAAGTGTGTCGTGTCTTGCACTAGTGAACTCCTCGCACCACTTTGCCTGTGGCTGCTTCAGGCAAATCACAAGTTAGGACAAAAAAAGAATTAGAGAACTCGTCGGACTCACATTGGCGAGGCTCTTGGGGACGCCAACGGCGACGTGGGGAAAGACGGCACGGATGACGGCGCGTTTAATACAAATTGGTGTTGGAGAAGCTCTATGGCTTTTGGTCTGTCTTCCGGATTGAAGAGCAGGCATTGTTGAACGAAGTCTTTCGCTATAGGACTCAAGCTGTCTGGGATTGGAGGGGCCTCTCCTTTCGAAAGTTTGAAGTAAACCCCGAACTGTTGGCACATCACAACGAAATGTCAATTGAAAACAAGAAAAAGGATTTTTTTTGTTCTTCACTCACCCCCAAGTCACTCCAAGGAGGCTTCCCCATTGACATCTCCAAAATTGTACAGCCAAGGCTCCATATGTCCACGGCAGTTCCATAGGATCTTTTGGATGGATTTGGAGTCACCACCTAGAAACGACAACCAATTCTTAGCTCCCCTCAAGTCACGCATTTTGACTCTCACAAAACGTACCTCCGGTGCCATAAAAATCGGTGTACCTTTCAAAGACGACGCCAGTGGGGTCTGCAAGCGGCGGCAAAGCTCAGATTAAAGCGACTAATGCGACTAAGGAAAAAAACAAGCACAGGAATACCTGTTTCGCAACACCAAAGTCGGCAAGCTTGACCTGGCCGAGAGAGTCGACTAGAATGTTTGCACACTTGATGTCCCTGTGGATCGTATGATTTTCGTGAAGATAAACCAGCCCGTGAAGTATCTGACGTGTATACGCACGTATCGTGCTCTCCTCGAAACCGCCAAGTTTGTTCAGTATCGTCTTCAGGGAGGATTTCATGTGCTCCAGAAAGATGCAGAGGGAGCCAGTTTCATCCTGTTCCCAAAGACAACGAAGTGTTAAGAGAATGAATTCCATGGAACCTCGAGATGCTCACAATGCAAGCTCCTAGGTACCTCACAATGTTGGGGTGATTCAGCTGACTAAGAAGTTGGACCTCCTGAAGAAACGAAAACATTTATGTTAGCACAAGAGCAGACGACTTTTCACCTTCGTGGTCTCTTCGGTCATGATTGAGTCGTGCACAACTTTGATAGCACAGAAGCTCCCATCCTCCCTGAAAAGATCAGGCTAAAAACGAGCCACCAACGATAGAAAGAAGAACGAAAAACCTTACATGAATCCCTCGTACACCGTCGCGAAAGATCCACGTCCCAGTTCCTGGAGCTTTTGACACTTTAGCAGCCGGGAAGGAGATCTCTGTGGCGAGTGGAGAGGAGACCAGCGGGGAGACTGTGGAGACTGTGAGAAGCGCGGTGACCTCTCGGAACTCTTTCGATGCGAGAAATCCAGAGCGCATCCCAGTGATTTCCTCGGGAGAGGCAACGGAGCTGGCGCCGCGGTTCGCAAACTATTCCCAGCACGAGGACACACTGCTGCTGCGGGAGGTGGCGATCGCGATGGAAGAGGGTGTGGAACACGAGAAGAATCTGTCATGGTGTTCCCAGGAGTGACTGCTGCTGCCGCTGCTAGCGCTAAGCTATACCCGTTACCACTGAGAGGACTTTGAGGAGATCGACACCACGGATCGTTGGCAGGACTTAGCCGCGAAGATGGTGTCGGAGACATGGATCGGCTCTCGAACGACGAGGTGTCGCCGAAGGAATCCAAAGACCTCCTGTGCTCGGAGAAGAAGCCCGGGGTCGTGGGCCTCGCAAAGCTCTCGGGGTGCCTGTGATCCTCCACCTCCTCGAACGACACATCCGTGGAGTCGGGATCCACCTCGGCTCGCATTTCCATCTGCTTGATGATCTGCGCCTCCTGATCCCTGTTCTCGGCGCCCAGCACGCGCAGCACCTTGGCGGCATCCACCGATTTCGTTCTTGGAGACATGACCGAGCTCCTGGAGAAATATTTCGCCATGGCCGGGCCACTGCTGCTGCCACTGCTGCCGCTGCCGCCTCCATCCGGCGACGACACGGGGCTTCGATCGTTTTTCTTGTGGAAGATCTTGTTGAGCAGCTTCATCTCTCTCTCTCTCGCCGGATCAAACCCTCTCGATCCAAAACCCTAGCCTCCGCCAAAGATCCTTACCGGGGATGGAGCGGCATAGCTCGCGCGCCTCGAACGGATCACATTTTCTTCCGGGAAGGCGCCCCAGGAAGACGATAAACGCCCGTGTCGGGAGAAGCTACCAAGGAAAGCGCGAAAGAGAAATGCGCGGAAAGCAAGTAACAACAGCCGTCGGATGCACCGCATCCCACGGCCCGGCTCGCGGCACGTGGGCCAGTCATTGTGCTTGCTGCGGCGGCGGTTGAGATGGAATAGTGCTGGAAAATACCCTTTCCTTAACATGTACAAGGGCCTACGACCTATTGATCGTGCTAAAGAGATCTTCGTCAAGAACAAGGATAGGGATCTCGTCTCCTGGCCTTCTATGATCGCAGCATTTGCCCCGAATGGGCATTGCACAGAGGCCTCTAATACTAATCCGAGAGACCCGGTTTCGATTCCCTGCAACGGAATATAATTCTCTAGGGCCCAACATTAATATTCTCTGATTATATTAAAGTTTTTGTACGTTGTGTACTGTAGGGGTTTTCTTTCAGTGGCTATGGCTGCTGGAGCTCCAAGAGATGAGGAGAAGCCTCTCCTCCATTACGTCAGCAGCACAAGTCATCCATGGGTCGTTTCAAAGCAAGCGCTTCTCCTCTCTTTGCTGCTCAATCTCCTCCTGGCTTTCGCAATCGCGGTGTTCTTCCTTCAATCAGAGTTCTTCCACCTTGGACGATCTGCTGGTGTTTTAAGATCTTCCAGAGATTATCACTGGACGAGCAAGGCATCCGCCGAGGCCGAGAAAGCCGCGGCAATTCCTTGCTCGGGCCATGGACGAGTATTCGTGGACACCATCCTTGCGGCAAATGGAGAGCCTTCGTGCGAGTGTAACAGGTGCTTCGCTGGGACAGATTGCTCGAGCAAGATAAAAAATTGCAACGCAACAGTCGATAGGTACGCTTTCAAGATCACACACCAAACTTTCAAAGTCTCTAGAGTCGAAAACTAAGTTCCAAGCTTGATCACGGTATTGACAGTGGTGATCCAATGTTCTTGGAGCCCTTTTGGGACGCGAATGCCGAGGCTGGAGCAGTAGTGATCCCGCCAGTTCACCGGATGAGCTACTTCACCGAGGCCACGGGGGAGGGGAGGAAGATCACGCTGGAGCTGGAGAGGCTCATCCGGCAAGTCCACGAGTTCGTGGGAAATGCCGTGATCAAAGACAAGTTCATCGTGATTGGGACTGGATCCATGGAGCTCATCAACGCTGCTGTCGCTAGCCTAGCTCCAATTGCCTCAAACACCCTTCCAAAATCACCACCAGCGATCGTCGTGTCACGAGCTCCATACTACCAGGTAAGATGTCCTGGACAACTCTTTCTCAAACTTTTTTTATTTTTCTGTAAGGCGTACCAAATGCAAACGGAGTTCTTCGCTTCCACGCAATACATTTGGGGTGGCGAGCCATCCATCGCTGCCAAAAAGTTTGCAAACACTGGCTCAACTTTTATCGAGTTTGTGGCGGCTCCAAACAATCCGGACGCGAGCATGAAAGAGCCCGAGCTCAAGTTTAATGGATCGTTCACGGTTTTCGATCGAGCTTACTACTGGCCGCACTACTCTCCCATTTTCAAGGCCATGGACGACGATGTTATGCTCTTCACTCTCTCCAAGCTCACCGGACACGCAGGAAGCAGGCTCGGGTAAACTTATTTGACCTTTTCCTCGTCTTTCTTGTTAGAGTTCTTCATCCTTGTAATCACTTGAGTCTGCTGTACTTGTTCTTGGTGGTTTTGTTGTTGGTCTTCAGTTTTTTGTTCTCTTTTCTTGTTTGATAAGATCTCTATGTATTTTCTTGCAGCTGGGCGATTGTCAAGGATCCAAAAGTTTATGCTAGACTCTCACAATATGTGTTGCTAAACACAAATGGTGTTTCTCATGACACACAGCTTCGAGCATCGCGGCTGCTGAGAGCTGTTCTGGAAGGCTACTCAACTACTGGAGCCAAAACAGGAGCGCGAGATCCTCAAGTTTATGCAAAGTCGCAGCATATTTTTCACTTTGCACAATCAGTCATGAATTCTCGATGGCAGAAACTCGAAAAGATTTTTGCAAGGTCGATGCAGTTCTCTTTGCAATATGTGGAAGCTCAACAGTGTAACTTCTTCAAAGCTATTATCTCGCCATCTCCAGGTAACTAAGAGCTTCAAAAACAGATCTTCAGTTCAGAGTTTCTTAATGTTTTTGATAATTTCGCAGCTTATGCATGGGTCAAATGTGAAGATCCAGGCTTGATCATGAACTCGAGCTGCTTCAACGTTTTCAAGAACGCAGGGATCATCGGACGCGCTGGTGGATATGACGATGAGCGAGATAATTCTTACGTTAGATTTGCACTCCTCATTGGCAACGATGACTTTGACAACTTCATGGAGCATCTCAACAAATTTCTCCAACACTTCATTGATCGTACAGCCATACTATAGAAATCATACTTCAATTACTTATTGAAGTAGCAAGCTATTATGGCTTGATTTGCCCCTTAAAGACATAAATACGATGTCACTAGTATGAATATCAATTAACATTAGTCCAGTTTTATAGCATATCTCTCACTTCCTGGATGATAGAAGATTTTTGCAGAAGATTGATTGAGTTGTCTTTGCAAAATGTGGAAGCTCAACAGTATAACTTCCTCAAAACCAGCATCTCCCCATCTCAAGGTTTCAAAGTTTCCTGATGCTCTTGATCATTTCACAGCTTATGCATGGGTCAAATGCAGTTTGGATCACAAATTCGAGCTGCTTCGACATTTTCAAGAACGTGGGATCATTGGACCGGCAGTGACGATGGGAACCAATATATAGTTTATCAAAGGCATGATCAACACTTCATTTGGTGTGGTTTTTGTATCTCTATGGAACTTGGCAAATCAAGCTTGCTAAATTGAAGTATAGTTTTATTACAGTTACAGGAGCAGCCAACCAAGCTCCGCTATTGCGAAGCTAAAGGGATGCAACACGGTTGGACGCAGCCATAGCTTCTTGGGAATTCCAGCCACACATTGACACCTGATGTCGAAAGCCACAGGCCGTAAGAAGTAAAAATCCTCCAGGAAAACAAGTAGGTTGACACCCATGACAACCCATGGCAGGTGGTAATCAGAATTGCTCCCATGAAAGTCGTGAAGCTGCTTCACCACCACACCACTTATCGCCTTCAAGAGCCCACTCTCGTGGTCGACCTCCAGTAGCACCAGCCCCCCATCATCCATCCGCCTGCTTAAAAGTGCGGTGTTGTCAATGCAGCACAGCGCGGCCACCATGATCCTCGGCCCACAGCGGAACGGAAACGCACGGCAGTAAGTGTAGCCGGCCAACTCCTCCGGCTTTGGAAACACTAGCAAGTTTAGTTTGCCTTGCTCAGAGATGCCGATCCCACTCCACTCGCCGCTGCTCCAGTCGTAGGCCTTTGAGCCCGCCATCCCAGAAAACAAACTCACCAGCGAGGCCTCCCGTGGGAGGCATGTCTCTCGGCACCCGCGACGCCACCTCCCGAGTCGAAGGTGTGAAGGTGGTGGCGGCCACGCTCACCAATGTTTGTGTGGAGGATGTGGACCCAGAGCCGGCTATCGTCGCCTCGCTCTTGCAACCTCGTCTGGCCGTGTCGGTATGACCAGTACTGCTCGGATTCTTCCGCAGCGAGGACCGGGTTGCACGCAAGCACGGGCCGCAGATGAGGCCCGAGGGCGACGAGGACATGGGGGTGTAGTGGCAAGGTGGACACCACGGCGACCAGCTCCTCGTCTGGGTACCAGGCCAGCAGGGGCCACTTGCGCAGGTTTCCTGAGGCTGTCCAGGTTGGGCTTGTGAGTAAGAGCACGCACTCCTTGCGCAAACGATGGACCTTGGCCGCCCTCGTCTTCGTCTTGGTGCTCCCCTAGCTCTGCTCTTCATTGACCAACTTTTCTCTCGGGCCGAGAGAATAAGGCGACGAAGAAAAGGCAATCATATGCCAGCGTTGGCGTTATCTCGTCGATCGCACTATCAAATGGGGCAGAAGGATTCATTGATCGGCTGCTATACAGTGGATTATCGGGTGGAGAAATGCCGCTGCCATCGTGTTCTTGGCGAATTTATATGACCGTGAATCAAAGCGCTGGGAGAGCTCTCTTCGCTAGTTCACCCAGGCCATGTACGATCCTTCGTCTTCTATGGCTTAATGGAATTCTAAGTCTTTCATGTCTTTATTTACAGTATTTTTTCCTCGCAGGTCCCAGTTGCTCCTTGATCATTCGAGAGCTTGGGCCACATCGCATCACCAAATGGGGACTCTCCCCTAACAAAGTTTCCTGGAAGGATAGGTGAGTTTCCTTGAGCTTCAAAATTTCTCTTTTCTCGTGTTTTTGCTTTGCGTACAGTCGCAATGTCTTGTTCATTGGAGTCTCTCGCAGGAGTTGACTTCTCTTACTCCAATACGAGCAGCGATTTGAAGTTTCCAGGAGATAAGAACACAGGTATTGTTGCCCTCTTTTTCAGTAATGGGTTTGAGTGCAACCACTCGTGTGAATTGAAACATTCTTTCAGGTGTCTTCAAATGTGCATTTTGCTAATGATTTATGATAATGCTTTTCAACAATTACATTATTTTTTTCAAGATTTATCTAAATTAGTGATGCAATTTAGTATTCGTTTCTGGAGCCTCTTGCTTCGTGTGGAGCTAAATATGTTAAAGTGGATCAAATTAAAAATGTTATAACTAACACTTTGTGAAGATTTTGTAAGACTTATGTATACATATACTTTAGCCACCTTTGATAATACTTTTTGCTTAGCACAATATTATAAGACATTGCCTCTTCCACTTTTTGCTACACGTCTTTCAACTCCACTTTCTATAAAAGATAGTTTTGTTTTAATGAAGGTTAATGCTATTATTGCCCGAGTTAAAAAACAAAGATAAGGATGTAGTCATGGCCGTGATGTACATTGTTAGGTGCATGATAAAGTTGGTCATACTTATTGGCATTGTTGGTGTTTTTTGGATTGATAACTTTCATTTCTTATATGAAGACTTTAGTGTTAATAATGTTTTGTTGGTGCTATTGTAGTGAAAGGTTTAAACACTAAGATGCTTCTAGGAAATAAGAAATCACACAAGTAGCCGATGCTTTTTGTGTGAATAAGTTAGTGACCCTTCTATTTTTTTTTAAGAGTATCATCAAGAGGTTCACTCAACAGTAATTCATCCATTTTATTTTCCAAGCTCATTTTTATAATAAGAGGTTTCTTGTTATTCTCTTTATATTGGTGGTTACAGGTTTAAGTTTATCTTTTATTGCTCAACCTATTGCAATACGTTGCCATTTACATTTATGTCATGTGGCAGAGCAAGTTTTCATTCTTTATAACAATAGTTATACACACATATATGTATAGGATAAAGTAAACTTAATTGTGCATATGGATGATTTTAAACTTGAGTACAATTGTTGCAAATGGTGTTGAATCAAGTTTTAACTTTATCCTATATGGATTGGTTGTGGCACAATTATGTTAAATGTGACTCTAAAGTTTCTCCCTTTTGTTTTATATTTCTTTATATTTCTTTTATTCATTTCATTTGTGTTTCTTTTTGTCTTTTGCTTCTATCTAACTTCCATCCCTTTTATATTTCTATTACTTTCTTCTATATTTTTATTTTGTTCCTCTATTCCCTCTTCAAATCCTTTTAATGGCTTTTATGTTGTAATAGTTGATTGGTTCATGAAGGAGTATGCCAATCTCTTTGAATTTGATTTGTCATTTGGTGTTAAGATTGTAATACATCATTCTATTTCAACTAAAGATATTCATCTAATCAAGGTTTTTGTTCATTGTTGGTCATAAGAAAAGATCAAGATTTTATATATAAATATTAAAGAGATGTTGGAAAAGAGTGTTATCCGAAAGTTGAGAGATTCTTAAGCATGTGAACCTCATTTTATGAAGTTAAATGGGAGTATTCATTTATGCATTAACTACGTTTATTAAACAAAGTAACGATCCCAAATGTATACCCTTTTCTTTACACTACTGATTACTAAGTTAAATCTTACTTTTAGATATTGGTAAATGTTAATGGTCGAAAAAGATATTCCCAATATTTGCTTTTTGTACACCATTTGGTTTGTATAAATTCTTGGTGATGCCATTTGGTTTAAAAAATGTTTTAGAGACTTTCCAACAAATGATGAATGAAGTTTGTTATGATATATTAGAAGTAATTATTGATTTCATTGATAATATTTTGATTTATTTGAAGGGGATGTAGGAGGGACATGTATTTATTTAATGCATGTTTTGCAAAACTCAACTTTGCTTACCCTATGTTCTTAGTGCAAAAAGATTTGAGAGACTACCTTGGAAAATAACATTTAGCTTTTGTTCTTGAAAGCATAATTTTTATTTCCTCGAATTAGACTTTTGCCCCTTTAGCATTCTCACTACTAACTTCCAATCTTGGAATCATTGAGAAATTTTCCTAATTAAATTCTGAAATTAAATAGATTGCTTGCTGGGAAAGAGGTGGATGTTGCCAGATTTCAACTTAGGAATGAAAATAAAAACTAAAAAGCTTTCTTATATATTCTAAAATTAGAATGGAACTATTTCCAACAAAAGAAGTGTACAAAGAATAATTGCCTCAGTAATAGAGGTATTTTGCTATACAAATTTGATATCAGCAAAAAAAAGAAATAGGACCAACTTACTGGATGTTTTTCCCATTTCTTGAGAAAAGCAATGACATTGTTGCTAAACAAAAACTAAAATTCTAACCTTATAAGAATTGGCTCAATTGCTTTTTCAGTTATACAGTGATACAGTTCTCTTTATGATAGAAATCTTACATTATATTAATATATAGCTTATCTTGTGGTTCATTTTACAACCTGATTGAACTCAAGAAGACCAAACCCCTGCGTCCAAAATAGTACCAAATTCCGCAACTTAATGTTACTATACTACATGAAGAGGAAGATTGGTGCCGTTTTGGATTTGAGAAGTTTAAAATGGCAGACGTTTAAGGGGTTTATGAGAAGCCCAAGTAGAGGGTGTGTCTATAATTTAGAACTTGACTTTGGCATCCTAACCATTCACATTCTTGATTGGAATATAAAACCCTGCTCTTTTAAATATATAAAGATAAATGATGTAATCTGGGTGCTAGAGGTGGTTTCCTTGCCAAGAGGATGGATATGCTCTATATCTAGGAGGTTATCGAAGTTTTTGCGCAGGATGAATCCAGGAAGTTTTTGGAGTTTTGCACAGTGTGAGCAGAACTTGAAAGATTTTCACAAAGCAACTCATTTCTCTTTACAAAATGTGAAAGCATCAAAAACAAGATCTTCATTTTCTTTAAATTGAGGGGAAAAGTCTTGTATTCCAAGATTGATCACAAACTTGAGCGTCTTAGACAAGGCTAAGATCATTGAACGTGCTGGTGGATACACCAGAGTGACAACTACGTTATCTCTGCAACCTTCTTAAAGCATGATTAACATCTAATTAAAAGTAAAACACTTAACCCTTAAAATAGGGGTTTAATCACGATGGTGGGGGCGCGCGCGTGCTTTGGAGGCCGTGATTCCTACGCGGCTGGGAGATTTCTGGCGCTGCCGGACGTGGTTTCTTTGCACAAGAGGATGGATGCGCTCTATGTTCGGGAGGTTTTCAATGCGCTCTACCAGGATATCGTAGAAACGCTGGCGATCGAGGACTGCTCTCTGTGCCTCTTGAATGGCAACTCCGGCGTGGGCAAATCGGCCTTCCTGTGGTACTTCATCATCAGGACGGGCATCGACAAGCCGGGCTCGCTCATCCTGTACGAGTCCGAGACTTTCATCTGGGAGTTTCGAGGCCGCTCTCTCAAGCACATCGCCAAGCAAGACTATCCTCTCCACCTCATCGAATCGCCCAGTGTCGACTACCATCTGATCGATCAGAAGATTTCGTCCGGCAGGACGCTCGGCGCTCGAGCACTCCTTGCGGGCTCTCCAGACGAGAGCAACACAAAGATCGCGAGGAAGCTCCGCATGACTTACACTCGCTATCTCCCGGTTTGGAACAAGAGAGAGTTTGATGCTCTCGTGGAAAGCTGGAAGAGGAGGGCCGATTCGATGCCCCGGCTACCGGATGGGAGCCCGTCCGCGAGAGCAGCTCACGCGTACCAAAGAGTGGCCGCCGCCAACTTAGCGTTCGAGTGGTTTGGAGGCGTCCCTCGGCTTCTCTGGGATCACGAGGTTGAAACTCTCACCGAGGAGGACTTTGCTTCGGATGTTACCAAGTGCCTTTCGAGCACGAAGCTCAAGAATGTGGCAGCCATCTTGGAAAACCATGGAAGTTCGCAGAACGTATCGTGGAGGCTATTCCATTTCGTGTTGAGGCCCGGATCTTTCAGCCGGTTCCAGTATACGTTTTGCTCGGACAAGGTGGCGAGCATGTTTGCGCAGTACCTGTGTAGCGCTACGAACGTGGGGAAGCTCGGAAGGTTTCTTGAGGCTACTCGGATGTTCAAGGAGTACGCGAGCTTGCGGGGCTTCGTCTTCGAGCAGTACGTGCTCCGCCAGGCTCTCCAGCGCAACATCATGGCCTTGCCGGCGGAAGTTCTTGTGATCTTGGCTGGACTTCTTCTCACTTGGTCGTGCTTGCAGAGCGATTCAGCTTGCTGTGGAGCGTGCCACCGGAAGGATTCAATGCGGGGCTTGTCTCGGCTGGTACCATACCAAGTGTGTACAAGCGAAAGTTACGTCCACGAGGTTTCGCTGTGAACGCTGCGATGGTGCTCCCGAGGTGGTGGAGCCTCTCTTGCTGCGTTACTACGAAGGAGATCTCGAGGATGCATTGCTCGGAGCTGGTATAACGCTCTTTGTTTCTTCTCGCTATGATTCTACAAAACTTTTTGCGTTCTTCAAGGCATGGATGCAGCAAAGTTCCTATGGAGACCACTGGGAAAGAACAGCACAGGACTTGGCTTCGTGTGGTTGCCACGAACGCTGGGAGTTGCCACAGTTTGTCGCGATCGCAAACCGGCAGTGGAGCATCTGGCAAAGGCAATGCAGGCCCTGCGAAGTTGGAGGCACGAGTACGATCGCAGCTACACTGAGGAGGACACCATAGTACTCTTGTTTCTCGTGTCTCCGGACGCTTTCTCGAGCTTCCAGTTTCAGCCATACCAAGTATCTGGAAAGGTTTCTCACAAAGCCATGCAAGGTGAGCTTTGCTAGAGTTTGAGAGAAGATCTTAGTCTTTTCTTCTTCTCAGGAGTTGTGCAGTGTAAGATGGCTGTTCCAGTGCAAGGCAGTGCTTATCTCTCGCTGCTCGAGCCCAGGAACTTGGAGGGTGTTGCTGCTGTGGATTTGGATCGGCCGGAAACTTGGGAGGATGTCTTGGGCTGTGTCGAGCTCGCACAGGATCACGACAATGGTCTGGAGATGCTACTCACAGAAGAGAAGATCGGGATGTGTGAGCGCAAGCTGGTCTACGAGGGAGATTTCCTCGACGTGTTAGAAGAGCTCGAAGATATCCAGGATAACCAGAGACGACTCCAGGCTGTGTGCAAGATTTACAAGATTCCCGCGACTTCTTCCAGCTCGCAGATGCTCGCTGATCTCAGAGCTAAGCGCCAGGAACTGGGAAAACTCAAAGCCAAGTGCCAAGAACTTGAGGAACTCGAAGAGCTGGACTAGAAAGTTTTCCCAAGGTGATGGGCATTTTTGCAAAGAGAAAGAGCTTGCGAGCTACGTGACGATCAAACTCTCGTTGAGCTTGCTGCCACCGCCTTCTCCATCACTCGGCCTCACGATGGCGCCGCAGAGATCACTGCGATCACCCCGGTAGATGTTTGCCAGGAGCACATACGAGGCCGAGTCCTCGGGCTCCAAGCTAAACACCCGCCGCGCAGCGCTAGCGCCACTCTCCATGTCCTTGTAGCTCCGGCAAGCTCCCAGAAAGCATCGCCACTCCAGCGCATCCGGCGAGAACGGCATACTCCCAATCAGATCCTGCGCGTCGCGGAGATGCCCGGCCCTGCCCAAGAGATCCAGCACGCAGCAGTAGTGCTGCTTGCTCGCTCGCAATCCATAGTCCATGCCCATGGACACGAAGTAGGATCGCGCGCCATAGACCTTGCCCTGGATGCTACACGCCAGGAGCACGGACACGAAGCACGCTTCGTCCGGCGCATCGATCGGCGCAAGCGCATGGAATAGATCCAGCGCCTCGATCGAGTGGCCGCTCTGCGCGTAGCCGGCCAGCATCGCGCTCCAGCACACCACGTCGGGGTTCCACATCCCATCCAGCAGCGCCCTCGCGGCGTGCACATCGCCGCGCTGCGCCATCGCCGCCAGCATTGTCGTGCACGACACGAGATTCCTCTCGGGCATCGCGTCGAAGAGCGCCTTGGCCTCGTCTAGGGCCCCTCCGCCAACGTAGGCGCCAACCATGGCCGTCCACGTCACCAAATTCTGATTGGGCATCGCGTCAAACGTGTGCTTGGCCTCCTCCAGATGCCCGTTCTGGGCATATGCCACGAGCATCGCGTTCCAGCACACAACGTTTTGCTGGGGCATCTCGTCGAAGATTCGCTTCGCTTCTTCCACGTGGCCGGCCTCCGCGTGAGCCACGAGCACAGCCGTTGTCGATATGAGATTATGCTCGGGCATATTCTCGTAGAGCCTTGACGCCTCATCCAGATGCCCAAGCTGGGCATATGCTGATAACAGGGCGTTCCAGGTGACTACGTTGCGCTGGTCCATTTGATCGAAGGTTTGCCTTGCCAAAGCCAATTTTCCGTTGCTTGCATACGCAGTGAGCATTGCGGTAGAGAGCACTAGGTCCTGCTCCGGAATTTGGACGTAAATCCGCTTTGCCCCATCCAGATGCCCATTCTGGGCATATGCAGTTAGCATTGCGGTCGAGCAGAACGGATCCCATTCGGGCATGCCGCCGTACAGCGCCATGGCGGAATCCAAGTGGGATCTGTGTGTGTGCCCCGTTAGCAGTGTTGTCCACGTCACAAGATCTCTCGCCGGCATCTGCTCGAAGAGAAACTCGGCAACTTGCAAATGCCCACTTTGGGCATATGCGGTTAGGATAGCATTCCACGACACGAGGTTCTTCTCTGGAGTGGCATCGAAGGTAAGTTTTGCGTCTTCCAAGAGCCCACTTTGGGCATACGCTGCTAGCATCGCATTATAACACGCGATCGTTCTCTCTGGCATAAAAGAAAATATCTCCTCGGCTTCTTTGAGATGCCCATTTTGGGCATAGGCGGATAGCATCGCGCTCCACGAGACCGGTGTCCTCTCGGGCATTTGATCGAAAAGGAGCTTCGCGGCTTCCAGATACCCGGCCCGGGCATAGGCCGACAGCATGACGTTGGAAGCCACTGGACACTCCTCCGGGAGCTCGTCGAAGAGACGCTTGGCCTCGAGGAGCTGCCGGTTCTGCGCGTAGGCCGAGATGATCATCACCCAAGTGTAGCTATCTTTCGCCCGGATCCCATCGAAAACCTGCTGTGCGTGCCTCGGGCTGCCACACTTCCCATACATCTCGATGAGCTTGTTGAGCACGAAGACGTCGGATGGATTGATCTTGGCACGGATTCGCGAGTGGACCTCGGTGGCTGCTCGGAGCGTCTTGGAGGACTCGATCTGTCTGACCACAGCGCTTCTGTCCATATAGAAACTCGACTGTGCCGTCTCATAGAACTCGCGAGCGATGGAGATCTTCCAAACTCCTCGGAAGAAAGCATATAAATGTAAGTAGAAGAAACTGTGCTGTGGAGGTCACCTGGGAAGTTCTCCCGAGCTGCTGAAGTAGAATGGAACCGAGCCCGAGTAGCTCGTCCCGGTCGTGGAGGCGAGCTCCTGCGCGTTTACCATGAGTGGGATCGGCCTCTCGGGCATGGACGGCACCGCGAGATCGTTCTCCAGCATCTTGACAACCTGTGCCATGCTCGGCCTGTAAGCTACCTGGGGATGAGCGCACAGGAGTGCCACCAGTATAAAACTCTCCATCACCTCCTCGTCTCCCAGCTTGTCCATGGGCTGCTGCAAAATATCCACGATCCGCGTCTCTTTCATCACTGACCACGCCCAGTCCGCGATGGGCACCGGCGTGTCGCTGGCTGGAGTGTGAACCAGCGCCTTTCTCCCGCTGAGCAGCTCCAAGAACACGATCCCAAAGCTGTAGACGTCGCTCCTGTCGGTCAGCTGATTGTAGAGAACGTACTCTGGAGCGACGTAGCCTTGGGTTCCAGCAACTCCAGTCGTCATGTGTGTCATCCCCTCGGGAGCGAACTTGGCGAGGCCGAAGTCCGCGACTTTGGCGTTGAATTCCGAATCCAGGAGAATGTTGCCACCTTTGATGTCCCTGTGGATGATCGCTGGCTGCGCACCGTTGTGCAAGTATGCCAATCCTTTGGCCGTTCCAATCGCTATCTTCTGGCGAGTCGGCCAGTCGAGGTTCTTCTTAAACTTCCCAAAGAGGTGATCGTCGAGGCTGCCGTTGGACATGAACTCGTAGACGATGATCCTCTGGTGTCCCTCGCTGCGGCTGCTTCCAATGCACCACCCCAAGAGAGGAGCCAAGTTCTTGTGCCGGACGCTGCTGATCATCTCCATCTCGTGGACGAATCCCTCGTCACCCGCGGGAGAGCAGTTCTTGAATCTCTTGAGTGCCACCACCGTTCCATCCTTGAGAACTCCCTTGTAAACGTTTCCATAGCCACCTTGCCCGATGAGCGTCGTCCGGTGGAAGTTCCTGGTCGCCGCCTTCATCTCGTGCATGTCGAAGCGAATCAAGCTCGCGTTGGAATGCATCGATCTCTCGAGAGTGGAGTCTCGATCCTCCAGCAGCTTCCTTCGAGATTTATCCTTGCAGCGTTTCCTCCACCATAGCCAAGCCAGCACTCCTGTGCCACTTAACGCTAAAAATCCAGCCACCACGATCAAAGCGATCTTCCAGACCTCTCTTTTCTCCCCACCTCGGCTTCCCTGGTTGAAGAACATGCATGCCACTGTGCCTGGATCCGTCGGGCCATCAAGATTCACGATGGAGGCAGCGTAGATGTGAGCGTAATCCAGGCAAGTGCTGCCATTGGATCGAAAGCTCACCGAGCTCACCACAGCGGCAGTGCAAGCGCTGCAAGACGGCCCATCTCCAATATTTCCTCGGCAGTTCGTCTGGATATTCACTATGGAGGCCGAGCTCGTGGCGCTCGTGAAATCCCCGACGCTGGTGAAATTCGGGCAGCGCGTGGATCCTGATTCTAGAGTCTGAGAATCGATGCTACACCGTACCGTGATATTTGGAGCCACGCCCTGGCGCTGGAGCGACGCCTGGAAATCTTGGATGCATGACGATGCGGTGGCTGCTGGGAACAAGAATCTCTGCGTCCTGTTGAGCTGCGCCGCGATGACAAGGTTGAGCTCCTCCCTCACGGCCAGACACTGGCGTCCCGGATCCCTGTCATTCCTCGCGAAAGCAAACTCGTCGGCAGTCACCGAGAAATCCAGAGGGCAAGAAGATTGGCCGAGAACGAGCAATCGCGCTGGGGAGAAGAATCCGAGCAGCGCCGCTGCTGCCACGGCTACAAGAAGCAAGCGCCTTGATCGGCCATAGGCGGACATCAGCGATCGATTGCTCGATCGCTCGCCAGAAGAAAAAATCAAAAGCGACTGCTAGGAAAGGACAATCGTGTGTTCGAATCTTAGCCCTATAATTTAGACAAAGGGTAAAAAAGAGGACGTTAAAATGAAATGCGGTAGAGGTAGAAAAATGAGACTACTAGGGATCGAATCCTGCCCCTGCGCAACGCGTCTAAGGTCCACCGACACTACACTCTAAAAGAAGAAGCTCGCTTTCTTCCATCGTGCATTCGATCCAATCTTACTCCAAATCCATGGCCGATTCGTCCGATCCCAGCAGCATCGAGGTCGCGGAGCGCGGCGCCAAGAGCAAAGATCACCAGGAAGAGCAGGAGTCCGAGGGATTCATGGCCAAGGTAAAGGATTTCATCCACGACATTGGGGAGAAGATCGAGGAGACGATAGGTTTCGGCAAGCCCACGGCCAGCGTGAGTGGATTCCATCTCCCCAGCATCAATCTCGAGAAGGCCGATGTGGTCGTGGACGTGCTCATCAGGAACCCCAATCCAGTCCCCATTCCTCTGGTCGACATCGAGTACCTGATCGAGAGCGATGGCCGCAAGCTCGTCTCCGGGACGATCCCCGACGCGGGTACGATCCACGCGCACGGATCCGAGACGGTGAAGATCCCTCTCACCCTGATCTACAAGGACATCGAGGACACCTACGATGATATCAAGCCCGGCGCGGTGATCCCCTACCGCGCCAAGGTCGCGCTCTTGATCGACGTGCCGGTGTTTGGGCGGATCACGATCCCGCTGGAGAAGACGGGCGAGATCCCCATCCCTTACAAGCCCGACGTGGATGTGGATAGCGTGGAGTGGGATCGCCTCTCGCTCGAGGAGACCGCGGCGACGATGAAGATCAAGGTGGAGAACAAGAACAAATTCGATCTGGGCGTGCGCGAGCTGGAATTCGAGCTCACGCTGGCGGACACGCCGATCAGCCGCGCCAAGCTCGGGCAGTCCGCGGACATTGCCGGCGATGGAGTAGGGTTCTTGGAGGTGCCCATCTCGTTTCGTCCCAAGGATTTTGGATCCGCGCTGTGGGGGATCATCCGTGGCCGCGGCGCTGGCTATAGCTTGGTGGGGAAATTGGAGGTGGAGACTCCATTCGGGCCAATGCATTTGCCCATCTCCAAGGAAGGAGGGAAGACTACGCTCAAGAAGAAAGAGGGGTGTAAAGACGAGGACGAGGACGAGGACGAAGGGGACGATGGCGAGAAGAAGAGCCACCATAGCTGGGGGATATTCTCTTCTTCGCGAGAAGCCGAGGTAGAAGCTGATCGAGAGGCCAAGGTCGAAGCCGATCGATCTCTCGAGAATTGATCTCTCGCTTGGTGTGCTCGATCTTTTGCTTGGTATAAGTACCTATATGTATAAGTTTGATCATCGAGAAGATATGAAAGTTTGCCTGTCGTTTCGTAAAACTTCCAACTTTCCTGGAGGATCTTCTTTTGGTTTTTGCGCTTGAATTTTTCTTTTCTTTCTTCCCAAAATCGGAACCGGGTGAGTTTGATCTCGAGGCGAGCGATCAAACCGACCTGTTTCCTTCCAGGCAAAAGGCCACTTTGTAAGAGGATCAAACTTTGCTACTGAGTGATCGGATCGCTCGTCTTACTCGGTTGCGCCCGTGATCTTCTTCTTGAGCTCCTCCACGTCTTCCAAGAGCTCCTTTCTACTCGACTGCCACGAGCACGGATTCTTTCAGCTTCTGGAGGAGTTCTGAGCTAGAAAACAATCGTACCTTGAAGAGAAGGTACCGATAGACGAACCAGCCAGTGTATCCCAGTCCGACGAGCTCCATCACCTTTGGAAGCTGATCGATCGATCAGCAGAAAATGTTTCGTAAGCCACCGCAATTGTGATTTTTTCTCAAGTGACACTAACCAATGGAACAGAGTTGATAGCTCCAACTATCGTTGCCGAGAACCACAGTGTCACAAGCGCTCCACCACCGTAAACCAGAACAGTGCTCTTGTTCTCCACAGATTCCCACTGCAAAGAAAGATATGAAGTGAGACAACGCTCTCATCGGATGCTGCATGCCAAACCTTGGTCTTCAAATCTGAAAAGATGTCCTCGACTTGCTTGCTCACGTCTTCCGTGGATGTTGTCGTGCCACTTTCCTCGGACGAGGTCGTTGCCTTCAGAGGAGCAAACCTCAAAGATCCTGCGAGGCGGCCAAAATCCTCAATCACACAGTGATCGATGGCAAGCACTAAAAATTCCGCTAAGGACATACTCTAGGTACCACAAAAATATTTCGCGAGCAATGGATGGATTCTCACTAACCTGGCATTGTCGCGCTGTGCAGCTTCACGGGAGCGCCATGGAACGCTCTCCTCAGTGGAAGCGGCCGGATCGCCGAAGCCGGCGACGACGAAGCCGATGCTGCCGCCGACGCTGCTGCCGCGCAGCAAGATGATGGAGCGGCGGTGAATGCCGCCACTGTTGCCGCCATCGCGCCCGCGAATTCGCACTCCCGGCCCCAAATTTCCCTCTCCCTCTCGCGCACTGGCAGGCAAGGCGGATGATCTAAACGAGAACCTCAAGAACCCCACTCGACGGAATGTCTTGCGAATATGCTCATCCGTCACGGACATTCCGCCACCTGTCCCCAGAATATACGACGGCGATTCGAAAGACATGGCGCGAAACAGCATCACATTGGCCAGTGCGTTGACGCCACGTAGCCATTTCTTATCTCCTCTTTCTCTATATACATGTCAAAGGAAGAACGAAAAAGATCCAAAGGTAATAACAAAGAGAAAAAACCATCTAAAACCTCAATCGATCAAAAAACCAGCCGAGCTGCTGGTTCTCTTCTCAGCGGGATGTTCTCCATGTCAATCCCTTCCATCTCGAGCTCGTTGGTCTCAAAATGTCTAAAGCCCCCAATCTCTACTGATAATCTAGTCGACGTTGATGGAGTCATTCCAGTATAAATGCCTGTGTCGCAAAAAAGAGAAAACGATCAGATCAAAGCTTTCCTAGGAAGAAACTTTGCAAAAGCTAGCTTACTCATTCCCGAATCCAACGCGTTGTCACCAAGGTCCTTGGTGACATGCAGCAAAAACGTCCCCGAAAGGATGGTGATGAATCCGCAAAGCTCGGTCACGATCGTGGACGGTGTTTGTCCATCCCAGTCCTGTGTGAGTAGCTATAATTGCCACGAATCATTCATCAGGTCCAAGGGAGAGAACTGAGCGTGTTACCTTGAACATTATCACGCTCGCGAGGATTGTCAGCGCTGTGAACATGACGTAGTAGACTGGAGAAACGATGGCAGTGTTGAAAGTGTCGAGTGCCTGCCGGATCAACAACAAAAACAAGAGCAAAAGCGTTAACTTGTTGGATCGACATCAAAGCATTTGTTTGTACCTTGTTCAAGTAATTCATTTGCGTGACAACGCAAACAGCCACAAAGATTGCAAATATCCACGACTGGACATATATCAGCTGGTTCTGGCCTTGAAACGTTAGTTTCAAGGCAATTCCAAGGGCTTTCACGCTCATGACCTGCGCATCCAGTCCAAACTTTCAGAAAGAAAAACGACAAGAAATAAGCTCGAGTTTTCTCACCGAAAGAGAGCCCACCAGGGAGCAAATGCCAATGTAAACCATTACGTGAGTGTTTCCATACTGGGGAACAAAATGGATCTTCAGCATCATGACCAAAGACAACACACACAGTGCATAGAGCATAAATCCTGGATACAAGAGAAAAAAGAAAGCCAAGTTTATCAGTGGAAACTTAATCTGCTTACACACCTATGTGTATACAAACTTACACATTTTAATGCATTCGGGTCCAAAGTATACCAGGTTGAGTAGCAGCATCCCAAATCTCCGTCACTGAAGTCATTACTCGCTCCCCTGGTGCGTGGAGCACGATAGTGATCGATCCGACAATACAAAGAAGGCAGCCCAGCATCCCGAGTACATGGAGCTTCTCCTTGAGCACAAAATGCGCTAAGGTAGCACTACTCAAGCAAACAAAACATAAACTATCGTTTGCTGCTTGTGAAAATGATCTTTACCTCACGATGATGCTGAGAGCACCGAGAGGAGTCACAAGTATCGCTGGAGCAAATGCATAAGCAGCAAAGTTTGCGATTTCTCCCACAATCACTGCCATAACAAAGATTATTTGTCTTTTCAATCAATCAATCTTTCACGAGCTCAAGAAACAATTAAAAAAGAAAACACTTACTCGTCATCATCCCGACCCACCACAAAGGCTCATAGAGATACGAATACCCTCCAGAACCTGGGAAGAACAAAGAGATAGATTGAAACACTCGGAGAAACGAAAAAAAAAAATGTAAAGTCTTATGACCTGCTCTTACTCCGTCCGCAGCTGCGCGTTTCAATCCTTTCTTCTTGATGATAAAACTGGAGCCGATGAACACACTGGAAGCTAGAGCGAGTCCAAATCCTTTGCGGTTGTCACTGGTGTCAAAACCAGCTGTATCTCCCATGATAAACAACTAGCACGCCATGGAAACGCATAGTCTAGATCTTCCAGCCCCATGTCACACCACATGCCATAGCCTAAAACTCCATCGCTGCAGCCGCATTTGCCCGAAAACCCGTTTCCACGATCATCTATCCGCCGGGATCTCGGATCGCCAGGAAATACCTGGATCCATACCTGGAAATCGCGCTCTGGATTGCAAGGAGTAGCGATGGCGATGGCGGTAGCCACACGCACCTCTCGGAACCCTACGCCACATTTTCTCTAGGGCTGAATTGGCAATTTCAAAAAGAGGTATATTCTCTTAAAAGAGAAATATTCCGCCCTCCAGTAAAGAACTAGGGCTAGGCGATCGAGAGAATGCAGCTCCGCCATGGACGATCGCTCATGCCGGGAGGCACTCAGATCGACAAGGTCACTGCTCTAGCGTGGAGCCCTAACAGGTGCGTGGATTCGTGATGTTTGCGCGACACGGATTTATTTCGATGCTTGGTTTTCTAGTCGGAGGCTCGCCGTCGCGACATTGAGCCGGATTGTGAATCTTTTCGATGAGAATGGTGAGCTCAAGGATCGCTTTGCTACAAAACCTGGTGATCCAAAGGTTAGAACGGCTCTTTCTAGCGAAAATTTCTCATGGACTTGTTCGTTTTTTTTTTCTCGTCTATCTCCAGGGCTCGAAACATTATGCAGTGACATCGATGGTGTTCTCTAGCGACAGCACAAAGCTAGCGATCGGCCAAAGTGACGAAATCGTTTTTATTTACAAGCTCGGGTACCTTTTGTCCCCAGTCATTCTTGGATTATTACCTTGGAACTTTGCTTGCAGACTGGACTGGGGTGAGAAAAAATCCATTTGTAACAAGTTTCAAGAGGCCTCGTCCGTTGTAAGCATAATCTGGCCTCTGTCTCGCCAACAGGAGATTTTCTATGGTCTCACTGAGGGAAAGGTGAAGGTATGCAACACAGTTCTTTCCTTCTCGATCTTGCATTGTTACAAACTTTAAGTTTCCAGATTGGACAATTGAGAACAAACAGGAGCCATACAGTGTATGCTCACGGAAGCGGTAGTGCGGTGGTCAGTCTGGCCTCTAGCACAGATGGTTTCTCATGCCTTGCTGGTCACTTAGACGGCTCCATATACAAGTAAGCATTCTTATTGTTCGATCCCGTCTTACTTTTCATGGCTCGAAGGTTCATGCTTGATAACTCAACTCCCGGCGTGTCATCCATGAAAATGATAAGCCATGGTATTTCTTCTGCCTGCTAGACAACTAAAACATAACGATGAAGTAAGTGTTTTGTTGTTCGGCCTGTGTTATATTATCTCCAGCCTTCGTGTGTCGCAGGTACAGTGCCACTGGTGATAGCTTGGGGAAAAGCCATAGCAGTTGCTGGGCCGGATTGTAAGGTGAAGTTCCCTCAACATTCTTTGTTTACTGGTAGTGTCCTTACCTTCTTTGTAGGTTACTTTGTATGACTCAAATGGAGTTGTCAGCCAGAATTTCGAATATAGCGGAAAGGTTTGGCATTTTCGAAGAAAAATTCAGTGAACCACTTTCTGCTCAGGTTTCTCATGAGTTTTGCTCGGGATCATTCCATCCCAGCGGAGATACGCTTGCCTTGGGACACTTTGGCGGCTTCAAAATCTTCAGGTGCTTCAAATTGATCCGGGTTTTGTCCATGGTTTGACGAGACGAATGTGTAGCTGGGATCAATCTGGCCGATGGAATCTTATTCTGGACAACGTTGTGGAGAACCTGTATACTGTATCAGCCTTAACGTGGAATCCAGACGGCAGGTCTGTTCTAGTTTTCTACTGGATAGCGTTTATATCCTCCGGAAGTTTTTTCAGTCAGCTTGCTGTCGGGACATTGTGTGGGAAGCTAGATGTTTTTGATTCATGCATGCGCAGGCAACGGTATCTTGGAAAATTTGAACTCACATATATTACGAAGAGTCAGGTAACGGCGCATCTACATTCTTTGTAGTTAACTTGGCTTTGCCTACGATTGTTACAGGTTCTCATAACGAAATTGGCTGTCGGAATCAAGACGGTTATTGGCTCGCAATTTGGACTCGAAATTACAAAAATTAACATCTACAACGAGCAGGTTTGCGTTGCAATGCAATCGTCTCATCTCTTATAGTTTTTGCAGTATCTCGTGGCACATACCTCGGGGACTATTATCTTAGGTAATTTTGAAACTGGAAAGATATCTGAGGTAAGTGTTACTTTTCACTGAATGTCCACCGTAAAGTCGAACTCTTACAGATATCATGGCACACTAGTGGAAATGAAAAGTTTTTGCTCGAGCATCCATTTGCATGTATTATGTATGATGCGGGAGAGGTGGTTGTTATCGAATATGGTTTTAACGAAGTGTTAGGGACCTGTCGAACTGAGGATTTCGACCCATCGTTAATCAGCTTATCCATCACGGGCTCTACGATCACGGGAAAAGACGAAATCAAAAGGATTGCGTACCTTATAGACATTCAAACTATTCGAGTGCTAGATCTTTTGAGGTTAGCAGAATTTGACTACACAGCGCTGCTGAAATTTAAGTTTTCAGTGGGTTAACAGTTGGGACAGCAAACCACACCTGTAAAATTGAGTGGCTCGCTTTGAATCCACAGTCTACGTACCTGCTGTTCCGTGATGCGAAACGCCAACTTCATCTGTTTAATATAAGCTCGGAGGTGAACTTTGACTTTTAAAGATGAACTTTACCAACTTTTGACACTTTCAGGAGCGCACTATGTTGCTAAACCTGTGTACATTTGTACAATGGGTTCCTGGGAGTGATGTAATAGTCGCTCAGGTATGATATTGGGCTTTTTTCTTCTTTCTATTTCTGTTGAGCAACCCACTGCAGAACCAAAACAATCTTTACGTGTGGTACACTATAAAAAACCCGGAGCAAGCTACCATTTTTCAAATGAAGGTATGTTAATTTCCCTACATACTGTTATCTAGCTGTGACTGTTCCACGCAGGGGGAAGTTACGGGAATCGAGAGAGGACAAGAGCGAACTGAAGTGATTGTGAGTGAAGGCATAAACACGGTATCACCATGTTTGCAATTTTTTCACGCAACTCTGACTTGATAACAACAAATGTATCCAGGTAACGTATGTCTTGGACGAGGCTCTTATCGAATTTGGCGTGGCTTTAGAATGTCTGGACTATGGCCGTGCGGTCTCAATTCTCGAGTCGCTGGAATTTACTGCTGAGATTGAAGCCATGTGGAAACAGGTGTTGTTTTTCTTTTTTGGTTTTCTGATTTCTATGAGACTGTATTCTGTTGTATCAGCTGGCGGAAAAGTCGTTTGAAAACATGGAGTTAGCATTTGCTGAAAGGTGCTATGCAGCTCTAGGTGATGTATCCAAGGCTCGCTATCTTCACAAGGTAGCACTTCCTAGTTCTTGCTGCTGTCCGTAAACTTGCGTGCAGGTCAATAAGCTGATTGAGGCTAGCCCTCCCGATCAAGCTGTAGGAGCTGACAATTATCTCGTGAAGGCAAAGCTTGCAGTTCTTCAGCATCAGTGGAAGGTGTGTATCTCTCCGTTTGTGCAGAGAACTAAATTGGTTGTGCTTCTCCATCAGATAGCTGAAGGTATTCTGCTGGACCATGGGTCCATTGCAGAGTCCATACAAATGTATACAGAGTGTCACAGGTATCATTTTTTTCTCTCTCTCTCATTATGTGCGTAGCTGATCTTGTCATTTAGGTGGAAAGAAGCAATAGCTGTTGCTAAAAGTCAGACCTACGCAGGTTGTGAAGAGCTTCAGGATCGTTACTTCAAATGGCTCTTGCAGACGAACCAGGTCCGTGATTTATTTGAGGATGCACAGTAACACTTTTAAACAGGACGAGGAAGCAGGGAAGGTGAAAGAAACGGAAGGTGATGTCTTAGGCGCGATTGACTTGTTCTTGGATGGAGGTCTTCCTGGCTGTGCTGCAGAGTGTGTTCAACGTCACTCTACGTACCAGTTCCAGGTCTTTCGTACCCGTGCCTTTCCAAAGTTTCTAAACGTTTTCGACAGAGTGACACACTGGAACGTATTGCAGAAGCGCTCGTTCGAGCTAACATGTTTGAAGAGGTATCCTACTCTAATATGCTGATTCCGAAATGTACAATATCGTATTTGAATAGGCAGGCAAGTTTTTGGAGCTGCTGCATCAATTTTCTAGAGCCAAAGATGCCTACGTCAAAGGCCATTCATATAGCTGTGCAATTGATCTTGCGCGACGACATTTTCCGAGTGAAGCAGCTCGCCTAGAAGAAGAATGGGGGGACTGGTTGGTTTCAAAACGGCAGGAAAGTCGTTGTTTTACTTTTTTCGTGCACATGTGACAGCGTTGTACTTCAACAGGTTGATGCAGCAATCAGTCACTTTATTGAAGCGGGTTGTGGCAGGAAAGCCATCGAATCTGCACTGTCTGCTTCACAGTGGCAACGAGCCGTATATATTGTGGAGACACAAGATCCTAAAGTAAGAATTTTTAGTTCTTGAAGATCCGATTGTCTTTGCAGGTCTCTTTCCCTTTCTACCAGAGACTTGCAGAACATTTTGAGTCGACGAAGCAGTTTGCCGAAGCAGAGAAATTCTTTATACAAGCGAAACTCCCGCAAAGAGCAATAGAAATGTATTTACGATGCGGCAGGCTGCAAGAAGCGAACAAGGTTGAAAAGGTTTAAATATTGAAAATAATTGTGTGTTATTTGTGAAGGTTTCCTCCAAGTACTTATCAAGTACAGAAGCATCCGCATTATATCTCGAATGGGCCGGCCGCTTGGAGGCTGCGGGCGAGCTTAAAGAAGCCGAAAATCTCTACGTACACGCTTCTGAATATGACATGGCAATCAACATGTACAAGAAAGCACGGCTCTTCGATGATATGCTGTTGTTGGTATCGACCTACCGTAAGGTGCGTTGCTTGTGTAACTTTTAATTTCTGTGCTTATACCGTTGTTTCTGCGCCGTTGTCTTCCGTAGGATTCCCTGAATGAAACTCATCTATATCTTGCGGAACAGCTTGAAAAGGAAGGTAATGCAAGATTTCGTCTTTATTTCTTTTTCCTTCTTTATTACTTACAACACCGTGGAGCTCTGATGCAGGTTCGTACTTAGAAGCTGAGAGACATTACCTGGAAGCTCAAGATTGGAAGACCTGTGTAAAGGTAATATTAAGCTTCGCACTACTTCGGTAGTTTTCAAAGTTGAGATGTTTGTTATACAGATGTTTAGTCAGCACGGAATGTGGGAGGACGCAATGCGTGTTGCAAAGCAGTTTGGTGGAATGCAAGGAGCCAAACAGGTATCTGAAACTTGTTTTTATACATGGAGCTGATCGCTTTCACCACCAGGTTGCTTATGCGTGGGCAGTGTCACTTGGTGGAGAAGCTGGGGCAAATTTACTTGCAAAGCTGGGACTTGTTGAACAGGCTCTCGACTATGCTCTAGACTCGTGTGCATTTGATCACGCTTTTGATCTATGTCGTTCTTCCATCAAGAGCAAACTTCCAGAGGTACATGAAACATGTGCATGAAAAGGATGACAGAGAGTTTTTTACATGTATAGGTGCACCTAAGATTTGCTATGTCCCTTGAAGACGAAGGACGCTTCGGAGAGGCTGAAGACCAATTTATTAAAGCTGGAAGACCAAGAGAAGCTATCGACATGTATTTGCATCAGCAAGATTGGCAAGCAGCCCTTCGTGTTGCAGATCTCTGTGAGCCGGCAGCAATATCCGATGTCCGAGTAAGAATTTCTTGGTGTAATGAACTGAGCTAAGCCGTTAGTTACAGGTAGCGCAAGCGGAACACCTTCTGAGTAAAGACGAGATATCAAAGGCGGAAACACTCTTCTTGAAGGTGGCAACCTGATTTTTATCAGACTTTCAAATATCAGGTTGTTATTTTGCAGGCCAAGAAGCCTGAACGTGCTATAAACATGTACAAAGATAGAATGCGATGGGAAGATGCCATTCGGGTTGCTCAGGCACATCTTCCTATAGCCGTCTCGGACATCCATCATGAAATGGCGGCGTATCTGCATAACCATTCAGAAAGTCTGGAAGCTATCCTTATGCGGGCGAAAACGATGGAAAACAATCGGCACTACTCGGAAGCTATAGATTTTTACCTTCAAGTCGATAGAAGGCACGTGACAGACTTTCCGGAGCTCCAAAAGGTTCTGCTGTTTTGTTTTCTTTTGTGACTTGCTGACAGTGTGAGCTCAGATATGGGAGAAGGCCGTGACATTGGCCCAAGCATCTGTGCAGACGCGCTTGCCAGAAGTTGTAGGCACTATTGCTCACAAGATGACTAGTATGGGAAAATACGAAGAAGCAGTGAAGCTCTACGAGGACATCGACTTTCATAGAGAGGTTCCTTTAAACTGCACTTTGACTTTTTACTACACCGTCGCATGTTTTTATCTGTTTCAGGCAGTGGACATGTGTATAACTTTTGGCCTCTGGGACCAGGCAAGAAAAGTCGCTGAGTCTGACCCACGTCTTCAGCAGGTAATCATAGTTGGGATCATGTTTTTTACTGAAATGCGCGAGAATCAGTTTGTGGATGAGCAGTATAAAGAGCATTTGATGAAAAAAGGAGAAGCAGAACAACTAGCAGAGATAGGAAATGTCTCAGAAGCGGTTGAACTTTACATCCAACAGTCAAACTGGCAAAAGGTTAAAAAAAAAAAGCATTCTTACTCCTAGAAAAGCATCTCTGCTGATACGTCACTGAAGGTTCATGAGCTTTCGAGCCTTCTTGGACCCGATTCGGAAAGAGAATCCTCGTTCAGGCATGCAAAACAGTGTCTGGAAGATATGAAGGTCAACACCCCAACTATATTGATTGTTCTATGAGATGCCACCATTAACTCGGACCTGTGCAGCTGTCCGAGGCTGTTTCAGTTTTAGCACAGTATGGTGTCCCAATGACCATTGACGCGTACGAATTTTGCTGCTCGCTTGCCTACCAAGTATTGGGGTCAAACGAGGGCCTCGTTGAGGTAGATTTACTTAGTTTTGTTTGCTTTATATTCTCACAATGAACACTTTGCAGAAAATGCGCGACATTCTCTTCCAACTGTTTTCTAATATTTCACAAACTATGACTGCCACTGTTTGTCCGAGTAAGTGGAAGTTGAGAGCCTTTCTTAATTCTGACCTGCGCTTTGTTTTTTCAGTACTAATGGAGATCGAGAAGCTGTTGTACATAACAAACTATCTTGCGTTACGACAAGCAGCTGAAGCACAGGTTTTCTCAATGTACTATCCGTTTGGAAACTACTAATCTAATGAACAGGACCTTCCTGAGATTACGGCCAAGCTTAGTGTTTCGCTGCTGCGTTACATTGATGTCATATCAGCTGATGAAGCGTTTTACCAAGCTGGAATCGCTTGCAAAAAGGTGTTTCTATGATTTCATCTTGTGTTGAAGTTGCGTGATTCCTTTCAGGTTGGTTGGCAAAACATGGCATTCGTTTATCTCAACGACTACCTTGATATAGCGGAATCTATCGAGCTTCAGACCGGGGAATGTACATTTGACACGTCTGGCTTGGATACGAGTGATATCCCTCGATCATTCCCTGTTCCTCAAAAGCACTACTTGGAAGGTAAATGCAGTCTCGCATTCTCTTCTAGAAGGAACTGATATTGTCCTTTTCTTCCTGGATCATCTTTAGAGAATCAACGGGAACAAGTTCGAGACTGGTTGATCCAACTAAGCATGGATCAACAGGTGCGTCCTTTTGCCACAGCATATCTATCAAACACAACGCTCTTTTGTCGCAGGTAGAACCCGTTCTTCCAACGAGATCCTGCGATAGATGTAGCGGCGAAATATACGAAGCAAGCCTCACCTGTTTCTATTGCAAAGTAAGCTGGTAGTGAACATCTTTGGAGGCGTTTAACACTCTCGTTTCTTTGCAGCTTGAAAGCAAGCCGTGCTGTGTAACAGGCTACCCCGTGCTGCAACACTCACAGTCTTGCAAGTACTGTGAGATGCCTGCCAACAGAAGCGATTGGAACAACTACATTCAACGCTTTAAAACGTGTCCGTGGTGCCGAGAGAAGCAACACACGTAGCTTTCCCAGGTACGAAGAAGTTTAATACTTAGTGCGCGCGTCATACAAGCTCTTGTTAAGCAGTTAGTCTAGTTCTAGTCCCTCTCAGTTTACTCTGCTGGGTCCCTTGCTCCACTCACTGTAAGTCGAGTTGATGTGATCATCTTCCAACCTCTCTAGTAAGCTGTGAGTGATCGCGAGCGATTTAATTTTGCCGGTCAAAGCAAGCAAGCAGAAAGAGAAAGCATAGTGGCGACTGTTCTCTCAAGAATCACCAAACAGCCAGCTTTTCTTTGCATTGTCTGTCTATCTAATATGTAGGTGGTGGTTTGGTCTTTCCCCTCATCCTTCTCGAGTCGCCTCCACTAGCCTAGGATTCAAATCCCCGCTGCCTTGGAGCCTTGCGCTTGTTGCCAGCTGAGAGCTTTCATTCCAGTCAAAAGGCGAGAGCCTTTTGCTCCCGGATTTAAGTCGAGACGGAGCGAGAGTTTTTCTCAGTCAGTTGATCGGTTCATCGTAAGAGAGCTTGTATTTTTGCAATGGCAGCGCTTGCTTTCGTCTTCACCAGCGTCCTGGTTGCTCTTGTTTGCATTGTCGACGGCCACCCGCTGAAGCTCGTCCCCGACTACTATGCCTCGACTTGTCCTGAAGCCGAGGCCATCGTTAGAGCTGTCGTGGAGAAGGCAGTGATCAGGGAGGCCAGGAACGCGGCGTCGCTGCTAAGGCTACACTTCCACGACTGTTTCGTCAATGTAAGTTGGACGCTGCTCTTTCTTTCTTCCGGCGCTAATGCTCTCCTTTGCAGGGCTGTGATGGATCTGTTCTGCTGGACGACACTCCAACTTTCACCGGAGAGAAGATGGCAGCCCCCAACAATGGCTCCATTCGAGCTCTCGACGTGGTGGACGAGATCAAAGCCGAGCTCGAGAGCCATTGTCACGGAGTAGTGTCGTGTGCTGATGTGTTGGCGATCGCAGCCAGGGACTCCGTCGTCGTGGTAAGTAAGCAAGAAGTAATTTTCTTATGCTTCATGAATAACACGCCTGATTGTTTTCTTTTGTTTTTCCTTCTCTAGAGCGGTGGTCCTTTCTACGAAGTTCTTCTTGGAAGACGGGATAGCTTAACTGCCAGCCAAGCCGCTGCCAACAATTCGATCCCACCTCCCACGTCCAACATCACGGGATTGATCTCGAGCTTCAGGGCCGTGGGATTATCCGTGCTCGATCTAGTTGTTCTCTCTGGTAAGCTTGTCCAGCAGCGAGTAAAGAGCTAAACGCATTGAAACTTTCATCCAGGCGCTCACACAATCGGCCGAGCTCGTTGCACCAACGTCGTCCAGCGTCTCTACAACCAGAGTGGAACGTTTCGTGCTGATCCAACCATCGAGAACGACTTCCTGGGATATCTCGTGGAGCTGTGCCCGCAGCGAGGCAATCCAAACACTCTCGCCAACCTCGACTTCGTGAGCCCGATCTACTTCGACAATCACTACTTCCGGAACCTCCAGTACTTCAAGGGCCTGCTCAACTCGGACGAGGTTCTCTTCACCACTTCCAAGGAGACGAAAGAGCTCGTCAACCTCTTTAGCGACAACAAGGAGGCCTTCTTCAAGCACTTCCCAGACTCGATGATCCGGATGGGAAACATCAGCCCTCTCACTGGCGATCGCGGCGAGGTGAGATTCAATTGCCGATACACCAACAGCGGGCAGTAAGTTCACGGCGTAAGCGAGAAAAATTCCAGGGAAAAATTCCATCTTTTTTCAGTGTTCTTTGCGGTTTGTATCTTTCGTGATTGTGTTCTTCCAAGCAATAAGCTGTTGGATATAAAAAAAACGCTTTTCTTGATTTTCGAAGGAAAAAAGAGCTCGTGGATCACGAAAGATCTGGAGAAATTCTCTGGAGACCACCAAAGTAGATGTTCGAAAGCAGTAGATTCAAGCCCGGATCGCGAGCTCGCAACTCAAGCCCGGATCTCGCGGCGAAAACCCCACTCTCCACATCGTGTAGATTCTTGGAAGCGCTCAGAACACTACACCACGCAACGTAATCTGGCACCATGGGCATCGTCGCAAGCAAGCTCGTCGCGAACTGGAGCTGCCCGGATCGCCCAAGAACATCCACCATGCAAGAGTAGTGATCCACGCTTGGAGGGACTCCAAAATCCATAGCCATGGCGACGAGGTAGTCGCGGCTCTGATCCACGAGACCCAAGTGGCTGCAAGCCGTGAGGAGGACGAGGAACGTGATGGAATTCACCGGCAATCCATCCAGGATCAATCGCTGGAAGCTCACGATCGCGGTCATGGCGCTGCTGGAGAGCGCGAAGGCCGCCATGATCGCGTTCCAGGACACGATCGTGTGCTGTGGCATTCGATCGAAGACGCGCTTGGCCGCGAGGAGATCCATCCTCCTCGCTAGCGATCCCAGCATTGCCGTCCAGGACACCACATTCCTCTCGGGCATTCGATCAAAGAGATCGAAGAGATCCAGCGAGAGATTCCCAGTGGAGCGATGGTCGTCGTGATGATCCAGGAGCGCTGTGAGCGACACGACGCTCCACTGCGGCATCTTGGAGAAGGCGATCTGGGCGGCCGCGAATTCGCTGCTTCCAGCCACGATCGTCGTCCAGGCCATGAGATCTCTCCCCGGCATCGCATCGAAGAACTCCTTGGCCGCCACGAAGAGCCCCAGTCTGGCGCTGGCTTGGATCATCGCTGTCCACGCCACGAGATCGCGCAGAGGGATGCGATCAAACACCGCGCGGGCGCCCTCCAGGGAGCTCCAATTCGCGGCGATCATCGCATTCCACGAGATCTTGTCGCGCTCCTCCATCCGGTCGAAGATCACGCGCCCCTGATCCCCGCCCAGGACCTGGAGCACCGATGTCGCGCTCACGCGGTCGTGGTATGGCGATCGCTGGAAAAACCTCTGGGCGGAGGAGGGATCGCTGGCGAGGACGAATCCGGCGAGGAGAGAGCACCAGGAGATCACGTCGCGCTTAGGCATAGCCAAGAACACCTCACTAGATTCTTGCAAATGCCCACTCTGGGCATACGCTGCTATGAGCGTGTTCCAGGAGATCAAATTCCACTCGGGCATTCTACCAAGAACTTCCTGCGCTATGAATGGATTGGAGTAGTGCGAGTAGATCTGTATCATGCTCGTCCATGAGACAGAGCTCCTCAGCGTCATGCTATGGAAGATCTCCTCCGCGGCCGCCAATTGCCCATTCGTGGCATACGCCCACGCCAGGATGTTCCACGAGAAATCATTGGGTTGCTCGACCATGCCATCGAACACCGCGCGAGCCTCGCGAATCCTGCCACATTTGCCATACATTTCCACCAGCAGATTGGCCAGGAATCGATTCCGCCGGTGCTGGCTCTGCTCGATCTGGGCGTGAATCCACCGCGCCTGCTCCAAATCCTGGCCTACAGACCTCACAATCCTGGCGATGTCATCCTGCTCCTGGAAAATCAACGCCCGGGAAGCCGATCGCCGCATCTCCGCCCCATCGCACGCTAGAGCCCTAATCGAGAGGAGAGAGAAGAACAAAGAATCTCTAAAGTAGAATATGCTTTGGTCAAAGTCGACCGTACGGACTGACAGACACCGTAGGATGTGCCCGAGGCCCGGGAGCCGTTGGATAGAGATCTGGGTGGGAATTTTAAACAGGAGATAAACTAAAAAACCCTAGCTCGCCAGCCGGCCATGGCTCTAACAAGGAATCGGTGCATTTATTTCTTCGTCATCCGCCCTCTTTCCTCCTGGATCGATGGATCCATCTTGTCTCGTTCTCTAGGCATTGATTTCTTGTGGGGACTACTAGCGATTGATGCGAGGAAAGGGGCCGCGGAGTGGAATGCCGGATGGACGTGGATTGATGCCAACGCTTCAATCGTCTCGTGTGTTTGTCCTGGCGCTATCGCTCGGAGCCGATTTCCCCGCGGCGATGCTGCCGACAAAGCGACGCCGACGCGCAGGATGATCGATCCAATCCATCAGTTCCGTCGGCCGGCGATCAAACAGGGTCTGGGTAGGAGAAGGGAATCCGGCAATCATTGGCGGCACGTTATCTTTTCGATCGCGCTATAAAATGGGGCTGATAATCCTATCATTCCAGAAGGATTGATTGATCGGCCTGATGGTCGATCGATACAGCGGATTACCGGGTGGAGCAATGCCGCTGCCCTGGATCTCGACGGCATTGTTCGTGCTCTTGGCCGGGTATGCGAAATATGTGACCAGCTCGAAAGAATGCGACCGCGTCCACTATCTTCCAGGGAGTGACGCCAATCTCTACCACTTCGATCAGTACGCCGGCTATGTGACCGTGAATCAAAGCGCTGGGAGAGCTCTCTTCTACTGGTTCACCCAGGCCACGCACGATCCGGCGTCCAAGCCGCTTGTTCTATGGCTTAATGGAGGTAGGCTAGTAGAAGTTTTTTTTCATGTCTTTCATTACAATATTTTGTTCTTCACAGGTCCCGGTTGCTCCTCGATCGCGTATGGCGCTATGCAAGAGCTTGGGCCATATCGCATTACCAAGTCGGGACTCTCCCACAACAAATTTTCCTGGAACAGGGGTAAGATTAAGAAGCATATTGCTTGAGCTCAAGTTTTCTCTTTTCTTGTGTTTTATCCTTTGCTTGCAGTCGCGAATGTCTTGTTCTTGGAGTCTCCTGCAGGAGTTGGCTTCTCTTACTCCAATACGAGCAGCGATTTGAAATTTCCAGGAGATAAGAACACAGGTACTTGTTGTCCTTTTTTCAGGACTGGATTCTCAATCTACTGTACAGCCAGGGACTCTTATATTTTTCTTGAGAGATGGTTAGAGCGGTTTCCCGAGTACAAGAAGAGAGATTTCTACATCACTGGTGAAAGTTATGCTGGTAAGCTCGCGGCTGGCTTCAAGTTTGTACAATTTTACTCATTTTTCCAAACAGGACATTACGTTCCTCAGCTTGCAAATGTCATATACAACAAGAACAAGAAGAAAGAAAATCCAGATATAAATCTGAAAGGCTTCATGGTTAGTCTTTGTCTAAGAATTCATTTCCTGCGTATTGATGAGATCTTTTTTTATCCAGGTTGGAAATGCACTGCTGGATCACGAGAAAGACAGAATTGGCAGAGTGGACTTCTGGTGGTCGCACGCTCTCATTTCCCACAACACGTATCGTTCCATCGTCCGCTACTGTAATCTCAAAGGCGAGACAAACGGGACTCAAGACCAATGCAGCAAAATCGTGTTGTATGCCTACCAGCACGAGTTCGGTACCATGGATCGCTACAACATCTATGCTCCGGTGTGTCTTCGCGCCAGTTCTTCTCAGAGAACGTTCACACGGTTCTTTAGTGATCCCGTAAGTCCTCAAATTTATATATCCTACTTGATGAAAACATATGGCATAGCAGGTGTCGAGAATATACCAATACAGCGGGTATGATCCTTGTGGGGATGACTACGTTGAGGTCTACTTCAACAGACCGGACGTCCAACAAGCTCTCCATGCCAACGTAACAGGCATTCCTTACAACTGGACGGGATGCAGGTTCCAACTTAGTTGATTGCTTTGTACCGATCTTATCTTTGTGTTGCAGCGAAACGATTAACACCAACTGGCAAGATTCGGATGAGACAATGCTGCCGATTTATAGAAAGCTGATGAAAGCCGGACTAAGAATCTGGGTGTACAGGTAATTATTCGTCGGCTACTTGAGGCACTCCTTTTATTCTAACCGTGACTGGGAACAGTGGAGACGTCGACTCGGTTGTTCCAGTGACTTCTTCACGATACTCGGTTGAGAAACTCAAGCTTAACACAACGAAACCGTGGTATCCATGGTACCGAAACAAACAGGTAGCATCAAATTTGCCTTGGACCTCCTTCATATCTGGTATGTCTCTTCACCAGGTTGGTGGATACACGGAAATTTACGATGGGCTGGCATTTGTGACGGTCCGAGGTGCTGGCCATGAGGTACCAATGTTCCAACCCGGCCGCGCCTTCACGCTCATCAAATCCTTCCTGGCTGGAAAGCCAATGCCATCCGGAGAGTAAGCTAGCTGCATTCTTTCTTTCCTTCTTTGGTTTTATTTTATAACCAAACTGTGATAGCTCAAAATCTCACAAAGTGAGAGAATGAATTGTCAGGGGACACTTTTACCAAGGTATCTTTGTTGAGTTCGTATTTATTGCTCTACCGGATCGCTGCTAGCAGAGAAAAAAAAACGTATAATTCCGGAAGAACGGGATGAGATGATTTGGCAGCCAAGATGTGATTTGGGAACACAAGAAGTAAAGTTTCCTGTTTTTTTCTCCAGTGAAACTCTTCAGTCTTTGTGAGCCTGAACGCCAGGTTGAGTATAGCGTTCTCTTGGTCGAATGGTTCTGGCAACTTCTGGTAGAGCTCCTCATCCTGAAAGATTGTAAGAAAAATAATCCAATAACAAAGCGATATTATACCATGAAGACAAGCATGCAACAAATCAGTCAAGAAAAGAGCGAAGAGGTTAGAAGCAAGAAAGTTTCTAACCTTCCAGCTTTGATCTTGTCAGGAATTTGGATCAACTTCTTGCTGCAACAGCTCATGGCTGGCAAATTTCAATCTACTTCTGACATGATAGCTACTTTTGTATGGCTGTTTTACTATTAATATTAAATCACAATTACAATAACATTTTACAAATAGTGCAAATATAATTATAACTGTGCTTAGGGATTAGTTAATATTCAACTTTAAACCTGGGATTTACCAAAACCAAGCTTAATAACATATCCTGTTTACAAGGTCTTGTAGTACAGTCAAACTTCTGAAGTGTAGTTATATATTTTAAATTGTTATTCATGCTAGTTATAATTCAAAGTGTTGGTGAAGATTTCCAACAGCACTTCTTGTTTGGCAAGTGTTTTCAGACTAACTTGCCCTCCATAAGGGCTCTGAAGTGTGGTGTTTCTATGTTCAAGATCAAGGGATTTTGAGTTTTTTTGCAACCTTCTTTAGACTCTGTAGACACTCATTTGCAACTTGCAATCCCAATAATTTGTGTGGCATTTAAGTTTCAGTCCACTTGACTAGGAAGTGGTTGCATGGTTCTTTAGAGAAATGTCCCTCAATGAAGTTCACCACTTAAGAAATGAGCCACATTTGTTATTGCTCGTGCTACCTTCCAAATCTCATGCTGCAACGCGTTCCAGCTAGCCTTGTTGTTGATACTCATTGCAGCAGCTAGTGCGTCACAAACACCCGGAAATAACTGCGAATTGTAGTGATTCTTACCTGATGGCCCATATATCTGTCAACAACCCGGATCATTAATAGTCAAGCTAGACATTCTGAATACGTACAAGATGCTTATACCAGGAAGTCCTGGTCAGTCCACTAGGATCCAAGAACGATCGCTCGGCCAGAAGCATCCGATCATTCAAGGACCTCAGCTTAGACAAGGTTTGAGCATCAGTGAGTACCTGATGAAGCCAGAAAATCTTAGGAAAAAAAAAACAAGAAATTAGTAACCTTCATTTGAATCATTTCTGCTCCCAATTGAGCAGCAGCTGCTCGCAGTTTTGATATCGCAGGAAATAAGGGATTTGCTGTGATGTTTTCTGATAGCAAATTCTTTTGCAATGCCATTGCACCCGCCTATTGACACCAGATCGGTCATTCAGAAGAAAAGGCATCAAATATCACCTCCAGCTCGTCGGCATAGTTAGCATAGTTGAAGGATAAAACAGCATCACTAGCAAGATGGATTGCAAGCAGGCCCCATATTCCAGAAACTGTTAATTTCATCATAGAATCTCATATCTGAAATGGGATACCTTGTTACCTGCAACGTGTCGGTGAAACATGGGATCTCCAAAGCGTTCCATCCAGTTGTAATCATCATACAGTGAATGATACATAGGATAAACTGCATCACACAGTTATTACCAAAGAAGTATAATCTCCCCATATTTACGAGTTTGATATCGGATGTCATATGAAGGAATACCAGCATGATGCAAGAATGCTGAAAAATCAGATCCACTACCCAGCCTTCCAATCTGAAAAACGCTCAGGTTAGTTTGATCGCATGCTGAAATCAAGCCTTACGTTAGGAGTACCATGGCCGTTCAATGCAGACCAAGCTTCATATACTGTCCCGTATTTTGAAGTTGGATCCTTCACCTAGAACAAGGACGAAATTGATATTACTTGATTAAAAATCCAGAGGATTGGAACCTTCTTGGTGACTTCCAGCAGTATATTGTCCAGCTGGGGGGTCGCACGTCCATCAAAATTAGGACCACCAACTGCTGTGTCGACGTTAAGGTAAGCAACTGCTCTAGAAGCCAATAAATTGAGATTCCTCTCAACCCATTCGGATGACCCTATCTGGAGAACAGGGGACCGGAATCAGACTGCACAAATAAGTGTAAGAGGCACTCACCAAGCCAAACTCTTCCGCATCCCAGCTACAGAAAATAATTGTTCGCCTCGGTCGCCACCCGAGGTTCAGCAAGTTTCCGAATCCTCGTGCAATCTATAAATGCAGGGGCTCAGACTGAACTACACGATGCTAAACATTACTTCAAGAAGACATGCAGTGCCACTGTTGGGGTCGGCTGCTCCAAATGTCCATGCATCTCGATGGTTTCCGAGCAAAATATACCTTGAACATTCAATTATAGCGTCGCAAAAGAATCTGAAGTCTTAGATTACTTACCTGTCTGGCTCTTCAGACCCTGTAATCATCCCTATAACATTTCTGATTGGAGCCATCGTCAAATTCCCCTGATCAGCAGCAAGATGTTGGACTTAAAACAGAAGGTAGAAAGAAGACTCACTTCATAGCTCAACTTGACTTTAGCAGGACCCCTCCCAAGTCGGTATGAGGACAGTTGTAGTCCCCCCTGCCACTCTTGTGGAGCAACCTTCCCTGTTAGTGCTTCCAGTATTGGTAGCGCATCCTGAGCCGAGACTGGCAACACAGGTATCTTAGGAAACTGCACTTGGGAGATTTCCAGCCTTTCAGCATCCGGAACACTGGGCCATCCAGGTGTAAGAGGATCACCATTAGTCAAAAACAAGGAACCTCGTTGAACACCAGATGGGGGCAACCACTGTGAAGAAGGATAGTAACCTTGAGTTCCGTTCCCTGCATAGTCGAAAGGATCCGAGTAGGTTATGGCAGCAGCTGCACCTGCTGCTGCTGCATTTGCAGCTATATCCCCTCGGAAGATCTTCCCGATCCTTGCAATGACCACTGTACCAGTTACATTGACTCCTTCATCCTTCAAAGTGAGAAAATCCTCTTCTCGACCATAATTCACATAAACAACTTCACTGCTGATGGTACCAGAAGGTGAATAAGCGAAGAAAGTTGGAATCACCTTCGGATTAGTGCTGTAAGGGTCGCCCTCGACTGCCTCTTCTTTCAAAGTGAAGTCCTTCAAGGAACCATCAGGAAGGTGCAACGATAGAGATCTTCGGATCGGATAAGAGAGGAGCACACTGTAATCAGAGTAATGAGCCACAATCCCGGAAGCTTCAAAATGATCAAAAACGTATTTTGCAGTAGCGAGGTCCTCTGCCGTGCCGGCTACATGTGGCTCCAACGTAAGCTCCTTAAGAAACTTGCTGATTGTATTATTAGAAAGACCAGATAGGAATTCATCCTCCAACTTGTCCAAAGTGAAGCCCAGATCTTTCACTCCTGTAGACGAGAAGAAAGCAAAAGCAAGCAGGACCAGTGACAACAAGCAGCATCTGCATCTGCTCGTGCTTGCCATACTTCTGGCTAATTCACACCTGCTGCTATATCAGACCCGCAAGAGCACGGACTACTCCCATAAAACCATAGCACTTAACCTTCCTGCAATAAAATTATAGCACGCCTGATGTGAGGGAAACATCAGAACACACTGAAAAGTAAAGAGGATTAGATACCCAAAGATGCAGTAAGATTGCAAGAAAAAGGCCGCAGTGGTTCTTCAAGCGTGCGACTTTGACAGTTTATGCGGCTCGGGACAGTGAAAAACATACAACTACTCAAATCTTTTGATAGTTGCAAGGTCTAGTGTTGGATCAAAGATAAGAAGAATAAGAAGCAACAAATGTTTTCCCGCTGAAAGACTGGCACTTTGCTTTGCCACTCATCTCTCGTCCACACCTTTACGCTCGCTTTGCATAAGGAGATGCCATGGATTCAGAGGACCACCACATTTGATTACCTGAAAATATCACATCTTGCGTAAAAGCATTAAACAAATACAAAAAAACTTTGTATAGACCAATAAATTCACCACCAACACAAAGGGAATCGGCTTTGTACTTGAAGCACTGTTTAGAATTAGGATGCCATTCATTGGGAAGATGCTCCTTCACGTGAACAAGATTAAAAAATAATGCACAAAAGTCAGCACGCGCAACAAAGCAAAGGATTACGTGAATAAAAACCAAGGTGCAGACAATTGTGTGTGATTTTATATGCAGCGTTATTGCTAAAGACAGGCATTTTTATTTCGTAATTGAAGAATCCCTTGCAGCTGCCAACTTCTTCAACCGGCTTCCAGAATTTTCTTGAGCTGGAATGAAGATCAGTTAACTCCATTCCGCTGTCTATCTACTCCAGACCTAAAACACAGAGTGGTCTTGGAAAATGTTGGGGGTGAAAAAGTTGCCAGAGTGAAAAGTGAGCTGTTGGGCCCATTATTGTTGGATTGACTTTCTCTATCCCTGTGACCTTTGTGGAGACGAATGGCAGAGAGAAAACGATCCAAGCTTCTGTTGATCGTGGAAGAAACTTTCCTGCTTCTAACCTCTTTGTCTTTCCTTGACGATCTCAGGACTCAAGAATCTTCGCAGTTTCTTTCGATTGTCAGGACAAGGAGCTCTACCAGAGCCATCTTACGAAGAGAACGATATGGCATTCCACGATCTTCGGTGTTTATTGTGAGCACTAAAAGTACCCAATTAAATTCTGCCACATCAGATAGCCATTAAAATCTAATCTGTCCATTCCAAATTTAATGGTTTGTGTGAAGCACAAATGTCGCAATAAATTGCCATGTGTTACATGTAGCATAATAGTAATGTTATTTTTACTTATTAATTCAATTGATCAAATAAATTAAAAAATTATATGCATTTTAATATTATTATTACACAAGATTAATCTAATTGCATATCAACCATTAACTGATAGAATAAGAAAGAATATACTAATAAGGGTTTAAGAAAGTTTATAAATTATAAACATTGTGAGGGCCAAGTGTACGGCTACGATGCCATATACTAATATTAACGTAATGGGATTTTAGTAGCCGTCGAATTAGTTTCAATCTGGACCACTTGCTCTTGTATATAAGTTAGGGTTTTTCCCTTAACATATTCCAAGCACTCATATTGGTGGAGATGAAGGGCACCTTTGATTGTCTCTAAGAAAGGCTTGAATTTGGGATTTTGATTTAGATCTAGCTTTTTGCATTGTCTAGATTTAGTTTTTTCCATTTCCTTTCTTTTGTTCTTTCCTTTCAAGATTTTGGTTTAGATCTAGCTTTTTGCATTGTTTAGATTTACCATTTCTTTCTAGCTTTTTGTCATTTCTCTTTTTTTGCTCTTTCTTTTTCATTCGTCTCCATAGTAGATCATCAATCTCCTCCTTTGACTCTGGAGCAACAGTTGGTACAATTGCTTGATGCTATGCGCTTGCAATTGAACAACCAAACTTAGTTGATGGCGGCATTCACGGCATATGGTACAACTCCTCCTACTCTTGGTGTTAATCCTCGCGTTCGGCCGGAGTTCTTTCGCGGGAATCCTGGGGATGATGTGTACCATTGGTTCGATCACTTTACGGTGATTGCCACATATCATTCTTGGGATGATGCTCGATGTTTGCGTGAGTTTCCCACGTGTCTCCAAGGGATGGTGTTGCAATGGTACAACGGTTTGGGAGCAGCCACTCGTGGGGATTGGAGTGTTCTTCTGGATGTCTTCAAACGCGCCTTCAGACATGCCGATGACTATGATGATGCTTTCTAACAATTGCATCGTCTTCGCTAAAGGCCATCTGAGTCGGTGATGCAATTTAGCGTTCATTTCCGAAGTCTTTTGCTTCGTGCGGAGCCAAATATATCGGAGCGGATCAAGCTAGGAATGTTGTGGCCAGCACTTCGTCAAAATCTTGTCGGACTTGTATATGCACTTGCTCCTGCCACCCTTGATGATGCTCTTCACTTGGCACAACGTTATAAGACGTCGCCTCTTCCATTTCTTGCTGCACGTCCTTCAGCTCCACTTCCTATGAGTGATGGCTCTGTTCCAATGGAGGTTGATGCTGCTGCTACTCGAGTCCAAGGACAAGGGTGAGGATGTGGTCGTGGCCATGATGTTCGTTGTTGGGCGTGTGATGAAGTTGGTCATACTTATCGGCGTTGTCGGTGCTTTCCGGATTGGCGACCTCCATTTCCTAGGTGGAGACTTTAGCGTCAGCAACGTCCCGTTGGTGCTGCTGCGGTGGAAGGTTTGGACACCGAGGTGCATCCAGGAAACGAGGAGTCATGCAAGTAACGGAGGGACCTTGTGCAAATAAGTTAGTGACCCTTCCATCTTTCTTTCAGGAGTATCATCAAAGGGTTCATTTGGCACCGGTTCATCTAATGTTTACTTTCCAAGCTCATTTTTATAACAAGAGGTCTTCTATTATTCTCTCCATATTAGTTGATACAGGTTTGAGTTTATCTTCTATTGCTCGACCTGTTGCCACACCTTATCGTCTACACTTGCATTGTGCGGCGGATCCAGTTTTCATTCTTTATAGCAATGGCCATACACATGCATGTGCACGAGATGAGGTGGACCTGGTTGTGCGTGTGGGTGATCTCGAGCTTGAGTTGCAGTCGTTGCGGGTGGTGCCGAGTCAAGCTTTTGACCTCATTCTTGGTATGAATTGGTTGCAGCACAATTATGCCAAGTGTGACTTTGAGGCTTCTCCCCCTTGTCTCATATTTCCTTATGTTTCATCCATTCCTCTCACTTCCGTACCTCTTTGTCCCTCTACTTCTACCTCTGCTTCCATTACTTTTGTTCCCCCACTATTTCCTCTTATGTTTCCATCTTGTTCTGCTCTTCCCTTTTTCGATCCCTCCGATGATCTTTGTATTGCAGCTATTGACCGGCTCATGAAGGAGTATTTTGATCTCTTTGAATTTGACTTATTGTCTGGGACCAAGATTGCCACACGTCATCCGATTCCAACCGGGGATGCTCGTCTAATCAAGGTTCATGTTCGTCGTCGGTCACCCAAGGAGATCAAGATTTTACATGCAAATGTCAAGGAGATGTTGGAGAAGGGTGTTATTCGAAAGTCACGGAGTCCTTGGGCATGTGAACCTCATCTTGTGACGAAACCTGATGGGAGTATTCGTTTTTGCATCGACTATCATCCGTTAAATGAAGTGACAATCTTAAATGTGTACCCTCTTCCTCACATTGCTGATCTCTTGGATTGTCTAGGGCAAAGTCATTGGTTCACCAAGCTCGATCTTGCTTCTGGGTATTAGCAAGTACCGATGGCCGAAGAAGATATTCCTAAGACTGCTTTTCGTACACTGTTTAGTTTGTACGAGTTCTTGGTGATGTCGTTTGGTTTGAACAATGCTCCAACAACTTTCCAGCGGATGATGGACAAGGTTCTTTGTGATATGCCAGAAGTGACTGTTGACTTCATTGATAATGTCTTGATTCACTCAGAGGGGACATGGGAGGAGCACATTCGTGATGTGTGTAAAGTGTTGGATCGGCTATGGGACATTGGTTTAAAGCTGAAGCGATCAAATTGTGTGTTTGGGTCCAAGGACACAACTTATCTTGGGTATTATATTTCTCGTGAAGGTTTGCAAGTTGATCCTAACAAATTTGTAGCCATTCTAAAGTTCCCTACTCCGAAATGTGTGAATGATGTGCAGCGCTTCTTGGGCAAGGTGCAATATTTCGGTCGTTTTGTGGATCATCTTTCTGATCACATTGCATTGTTGCGAGCGTTGCTGAAGTCATTAATATCATCTTTCATCTGGTCTTCAACTTGTGAGCAGGCGTTTGTGGATCTCAAAGAGCTGTTGACGACTCCTCCGGTTTTGGCATATCCTGACTACACTCGACCTTTTATTTTGCATGTAGATGCTTCTAATATTGGTCTTGGAGGTGTATTGATGCAAGAAAGTCCGAGTGTGCCTGGTCAGCGTCATCCCATTGCATATATAAGCCATACGTTATAACCAACAAAGGTGAACTACTCCACGATAGAGAAGGAGTGTTTAGCAGCAGTTTGGGGTTTCAAGAAACTTCATGCATATCTACATGGTTCTCAGACATTACTTGAAGGTGACCATGATGCCGTTACTTCATTATTGAAGCGAAAGAACCTGGTTGGTCGTATTGCTCGGTGGGCTTTGAAGTTTCAGATATATAATTTTGATGTTGTTCATCGCCCAAGAGTTCTATGGCTGATGTTGATGCCCTTTCTCGAGCTCCTCTTCCTTCTCCACTCTCTTATCATATTTTTAATGAGCTTATTGTTCCAGCATCTATGGATTTTCTAAACGAGGATTTTATGCCATCGGCAGTTGCTATACTTGACGTTCAGTGTCCACAAGGCGCAGAGCAAGATCTACTTTCTCTTGATGAGGTTCGTGAGGCTCAAAAGATTGAGCCGTGGATTCGAAGGCTTCGAGATGCATTTAAGAATCCTACATCACTTGCTGATGATTTGCCTTTTTGGCATTTACATTTTGAATATTGTCTTGAAAATGGCCTTCTTTATTTTGTGGGGATGGATCCTGATAATCATTTACAACTGGTGGTGCCTTCTATCTTTATTCCGCAGTTTCTCCATGCCTACCATGATTCTCCTATTCTAGGTGGGCATATGGGACATCGTCATGTGACCGAGAAGCTGCGCAGGTCTTTCTATTAGCCGGAGATGCGACGTGATATTATCCGATATGTGCGTAGCTGCGTTTGGTGCCAAGCTCATAATACTCCCCTTTGTGCTGTGGAAGACGGTTGGAGTCAATTGTAGTTTCCTGTCCGTTTGAGTTGGTGGCATTTAATTTTATGGGACCTTTTCCACGGTCGATTGCTGGCAATGAGTATGTTATTATTGCTTCTAATTACTTGACTCGTTGGGTGGAAGTTGGTGCTCTTGCTAGCGCCTCGGCAACTGCTGTTGGATACTTCCTCCTTAATCGTGTGGTGTTCCAACATTCTTGTCCAGAGCGGATTCTTTTGGATAATGGTCCTGCATTTATGGCTAAGGCATTTCATGTTTTGACATCTCGGTTGGGGATACGCCACACTTTCATGAGTGCTTATCATCCACAATCAGACGGTCTGGTGGAACGGCTTGTTCGGACAAAGGGATAATTGCAAAGTATGTGAACTTTCAACATTCGAATTAGGATGGTTATTTGCCATCTCTTTGGTATGCCTATGTCACAGGGGTGTAGAGTTCTGTTGGTGCTTCATTATATAAGCTCCTATATGGTCATAATCCAATATTACCAACAGAGTTAAGTTTACCTTCGCGATTGCCACGAGCTCCCGATGCTAGGTCCTGGGATCAATATTTGACGAGCATTCTTCCACTTGTCCAAGCAGAGTTTACCGAACACTTAGGCCGCATACATGTGGGACAACAACAGCGCTACAACTCCCATCATCATCCACCTGCGGAATACAAAGTGGATGATTTGGTGTTAGTCCGTTTTCCCCATCTTACGGTATGTGGTTTATCTAAGGGGCTCCTTGCATAGTGGAAAGGACCGTATCGAGTGTTGTGGCAAGTTGGACCACAAGTTTATGCGGTTCAGCATGATGTTCAGTAGATTGATCCTCCAGAGATTATGCATGTGCAGCGGTTGAAACGCTTCATACAAAGGGATCAAGAGTAGTTAATACCATTTATAGATCCACCAATGCCTCCTCCTAACGTTCCTTCAGATCCCGGCCCATCTACAAGAGAACCTTGACGGCCTTCCATTATTCCGAGAGGAGGGGATGATGTGAGGGCTAAATGTACGGTTACAATGCCGTATATTAATATTAGCATAGTGGGATTTTGGTAGCCGTCGGATTGATTTTAATCCGGACCACTCGCTCTTATATATAAGTTAGGGTTTTTGGGTTAATTGATATGCACATTTTCTATATTCCCTTTCCATATTCTAAGCACTCACAACATGTTTATAAATTATAAATAATCAAAATGAATAATAACTATTAGATAGTAGAATATCCTAGAATATTCAAGCATATCCACTACAGTCCCCCTAAGCAAACCAAAAAACAATAAAAATCATGGAATGACTAAGGACAAGAAAAAAGAAACTTCACCTCTTGATGTCTCACTTGCCAAATCATTGCAAAACATGGGATGCATCTGGCTTGTGGATGGACATGTTCACCTGCTAGAACGAACTCAACAAAGTTACCTTGGTAATTGTCTTGTCAATTCATTCTCTCACTTTGTGAGATTCTGAGCCATCACAACCAAAGAAGGAAAGCAGCTGACCACAATGGCATTGGATTTCCAGCTAGGAAGGATTTTATGAGCGTGAAGGTACAGCCGCGTTGGAACATTGGTACCGCATGATCAGTGGCTCGGACCGTCACAAATGTTAGCCCATCGTAAATTCCCATGTATCCACCAACCTGGTGAAGAGACATACCAGATATGGAGGTCCAAGGCAAATTTGATGCTATCTGTTTGTTTCAGTACCATGGATACCACGGTTTAGTTGTGTTAAGCTTGAGTTCCTCAACCGAGTATCCTGAAGACGTCACTGGAACTACCAAGTCAACATCTACACTGTACAGTTAGAATAAGAGTGCCTCAAGTAGCCAATGAATAGTTACCTGTATACCCAGATTCTTAGTCCGGCTTTCATCAGCTTTCTATAAATCGGCAGCATTGTCTCATCCGAATCTTGCCAGTTGGTGTTAATCGTTTCGCTGCAACATAAAGATAAGATCGGTACAAAGTAATCAAACTAAGTTGGAACCTGCATCCCGTCCAGTTGTAAGGAATGCCTGTTACGTTGGCATGGAGAGCTTGTTGGACGTCCTGTTTGTTGAAGTAGGCCTCAACGTAGTCATCCCCACAAGGATCATACCGGATTGGTGTATCATGGCTGTTCTCGATAGAGGTGAAATGGTAGCTGTGAAGAAGCTGTGTTCTGGTGGTATTGATCGGAAGTACAAATCCTCGGGAGAATGAAACATGCTCACTTGGTACCTGTTCTTGGTTACTGCCTGGACAGAACAGACCTGCTTCTCATTACAAGTACCTCACAAACGGAAGCCTCCTGCACTGCCGAGAAGAACAACAAGCTGGCTGGCTGTTCCATGAAACCTCTCGACTATTGCTCGCGGAGCTGCCCAAGCCATAAGTTTTCTCCACCATGAGTGTTTCCCTCCTATTGTCCACTCTTGGACCAGGACTTTTCTGCTCACACCAGACTAAGCGCAATCCGAAGCTCCAGCTCGTTCTCGTTCTCTGCAGCGAGTTCTCGAGCCCATCTAGAAACCTGCAGATCGATCAGGACGTGAGCTTCGTTTTGCTGCTAATCCCTGTGAATCGAACGTACCTTGGAGATGTTAAGCAATAGGTCCCGGGTCCTGCTATTTGTCAGTAAGTGTATAACTCGCCAGCGATTTCTGCTCCTAGCTTATTAAAACTTAAACACCATACTGTTGTATTGCAGCTGGGAGGTCAGATCAGTGCTTTCAAGTTCTTGCACCCTTTGTTCCAGAAAATCTTTCACCTGAAAAGCTTTCAAGTTTATGGTTTATCAGACTAAGAAAGCATACAAAGATCACCTGAAAAAGATCAGATTGTTCCAATAATTTTTTATCCCGCAATATAATAATTTTATATATATGGTGACTGCGAGGAACCCCATTGGTACCACTCGAGCCTGTGTTCCCCGCTGATTCCTGAAGTTGCTCGTAAGCTCCTGTAAATCCATATCCCACACTATTCCCGATCCTTAGCCCTCCCACTTGTTGGTGTCAGCGGTTTCTCTTTCAGTTGCATCCCCCAAGTTTATAACAGCGCTCCGTGAATATGGTTTTCATTCCATACATGATTTTTTTTATTCACTTAGCTCTCAGAAAAAACATATAGTGTGAATGTTTTCAACCATCTAACATGTTTTTTGAAACTAGAAATGAATCTATATATAATATAGGATTTTCTGAAGCATATTATGAGTTTTTACTGAAGTTAACACATGATTCTGTCAAGCATTATTCTAAAAATGGAATACAAATTACAATATGGTTTTCCATTCCAATGCTCGTCATAGTTTAAATTTCATTTCCTTAACCTGCGGTTTAAGTCGTTATCTCCTTAGCAAACTCGCAGCATCTCGACAATGTCAATAAAGGTGTCATCAATCTTTTGAGGTTGACCCCAGAAGTTGTCTTTTCCATCTCTGCTACTTAACTTGTGTAAGCTCCAAATCTCTGCCAACTTGTGTTGCACAAACACCAAGCTCTTCAAGTTGCCCCTAGAAATTGTTTTGCATATCTCCACCAAGAACTTAATCCAGTTGCCACGTTTGAGATGATTCCCCAGCGAATTCGCCACACAGAACCCTGCCCGGCTCTCATCTTGTCCATGCTGGCTCCTCCATCGCTGCTGGAAGCTTTGGCTTTTCTTTTCCGTGGGGCGATGTGGGCACTATCTTGCCACTCAGGGTTTGCATGGCCGTGCCCTAAAAGCGGTAAGATTGGCAATTTGGCACTAGAAGGTTGTGAGGCTCCCTACAATTTTTGCTCCCTCACTTGCTGGGCCATGAGCTTGAAAGCCCTCTTGTTTTTTTGTCTTCACGACCACCGAACTTATTTCGTTAACCATACATCTAAAAGGTCCATTTAGTGTTAATCATTAATTTATCTAAAAGGTTACAGACTAATCATCATCTAACAAGGCTTGGTAGGTAAGAAATTTCCTAATGTTTGCTGAGCCGATGAGATAGCTTGTGTGCTTATTAAGGTGAGACAGGAATTTAACACGTGTTTAGGGCACACTTGCAAGTGAGAACTCAGTAGTCCACCCTCGCACAAATATCAGGTGTTAGGCACACACTGTGATTTATTTATCCACAGAGTGCCTTCTATGTGCCAATTTGCCCCAGAAAACCAAAACGAGATGGCACAAGCAGATGGAACAGCAGTAGCAACTTAGTGTGATGCTTGGATAAGATGATCACATCATCCGCAATCCAAAGTTCCCTCAATTTAGAGCAATTCAGGGTGCATGCTCGGGCTCTTCCAAAGGTGGATCTTTGCCCCTATATGATAAGGTAGAGAGTTGGAGCCAAGTAATCAGGAGGATGAGTATCCATTGAGGAGCCCAACCAGGAGGCTGCAGTAAGTTCTCATAATCATGCATGTGACCTACACTAATGCAGATGAAGAGGCACATCTGGGCAATTGATATCTGGTTTGTCAACACCTAAAACTTTGAGAAATTTAAAGACATATGGTCTAAATGGTTTCACTTTTTTCTTTCTCTTTTTCTCAAGATGCTAAGTGAGGAAACTTTTCATGTGTCTAGAAGATCTTGGCAGAAGTTGTAAGTAGGAGTAAGGTTGTTAAGCCTTGCATTCTTGAACTAAGAGTTAATGTTCTCTTGGATGGAATTTTTCCACAAATTATCTTGGATTTATTGATCATTTTATTTGAAAATCATTCTAATTTTTTTCAAGATATTTTAAACTAGTGTTGGAGTTGAGTTAGATAGAGTTTAGAGTTAGTAAAAAAAATAGTTATTGCACTTTTCTAAAAATATGACTTTTGTATATTTTGTAGTGTTGTGTTTGATGGTAGATTGCACCTTGCATTTGGTTTACACTCTAAATATGTTCTATGCTCTCATTAATTTGACTTTGTCTTGGTGGCACACCTTGGTTGCATATGGTGATGTCCAACTTAATTGTTTATGGTTGACATATTAATACTCTTACTATAATCTTGTTCTTTAGGAGGTTGTATACCTATATAAATCCATATAATGGTTTTCATTTTTTAGTTTCAATTGGGTGTTGGTCATTTATAACTATTAGTTCTTTTATGATGTAGATTAGTTGATAGGCCTATTATTGCTCAATCAGATTTGAATAATCATTTAATCCATATTTATTTATGTTCCTATATATTGTTATCTAATTATAAGCATGTTTTAAACACTTCTGCATTATATTGGGCTATGAGAATTGGAAGTTGGTTAAGTTTTACATTAAAACTGAGTCACTGTTCTCTTGGATGGGAATTTTATCACAAATCTTATGGTTTATCTATTGTTCAAAACTTATTCTATTTTCCCAACCATTGCAAACTAGTGAAGGGGTGGAGTTGACTCTTGGACTTTAATAAATAATTTGTTAACCTAAAAGAGATATTAAGTTTTTAGGGCTAAGACAATTTCTAGAGTTAGTGGAAAAGTGGGTGTTGCATTTTTTAGAAAGATGACCCTTATGTATTCTGTAATTTTGATTTATTCTTAGGCTTACACTTTGGCCAATTATAGTGATGTCTAGCTTTATTATTTATGGTTGAGATAGCTTTATTATTATGGCTAATTTAGAATAATTAGCCCAGCAAGTGTGTTTTAGCAGGACAGAAGCCTGTGCTCGTGAACTGTATATGGCAAGCTTATTAAGGTAGTATACATGGCACCTCATTGTTCCTAGGTTTAGGGTTTTGTGTTCTTTTGCTTGCGACTTGTGTGCCTTACATTTTTTTTATGGTTGTGGATTTCCTCTAAGCATCTACAATGCAGCAGCAAAGGGCTGACAAATTGAAGGCATCATAACATAGTTCTCTAGATTTGTAGGGCTCTTGGCTTGGATTTCTTATAGATCACTCAAATTTCAGCTAGGATCTAGTGCTAAAGTTGTTGCAAGATCCATTGCACAACTGATGATCTTGCAGGGAGAATGGTGGGTTTTGCAAGGAAACTTGACTCTATTTTGCCATATAGTACATGTTTTGAGCCATGTGGGATGGGCACTATATGTTCTAAAGAATATGTATTTCCATGTAGATGATAGTGATCGGGCTATAAAATTATTGCATATAACTTGATTCAACCCAATAGTTGCCAATGGCCGATTAGCTTAATAAGCAAGCCACTTTATTAAGTTTGTATACTATATAAATCCATATAATAGTCTTTCTTTTTAGTTTTAGCTGAGTATTAATCATTCATAACTATAAACTAGGGAGTTTGGCAATATCCCTTTATTCAGTGGCTCAAGCCTTGAAACTTAGGTTCTACTTCATTATTCTTGGCCCACATGTCCAAGGGTTTAAATTCCCTATTAATCTTATAGGGTAAAAGGTGAAAATTATCTATGCTACAATTATCTTTTGTAAGTTACTTAGTATGCTTCTTAAGATGTTTAGATTTGTTAATTGATAATTTAGTATCTCTAAGATATTTTTGTCTATGACTTTGATATTGTTTATTATATTGATCTTAGTACAGGAAAATTAACTTTAGCTAGTGAAATATTTAATTATTATTATAGATTAGTTATATAACCCACCTCTCTTTCAATATTCCTATTTTTTATTCAAAGAGGTATGTTCATGTAAACAACTCTAGTCTATCTAAACTAGGGCCTTTATCTTCTTTCTATATATCACTTGTAAACAATGCATATCATTTTTGTAAAACCAAGGTGACACCTAAAGTAGCAAGGGTGGTTAACTTTGTTAATTATTTCCTACAACCAAATGGTGTTTAAGAGTTAATGCATTTTGCATTACAAAGAGAGATTACTTTATAATTCATTTAAGTTGGTGCATTTTTCACAAAGTGTGAACATTATCTTCGTAATAGTAATCTATGCTAAAGTGTCTTGATCATATACTAAATAGAGAACATAATGGGATTAATGGCTGGAAAGGAAATAATAATAGTCAAGGAACACTACCGCTTCTAAAGTTTATAGCATGTTCACTCCTTGCTAAAGAAATAAAATGAAAGCCTTTAAAAGAGACTATTGTTGAGTCACTCTTGTGGATGAATTTTTTTTTGATCTTGCAATGCACAACTTAACCTAGCCATAAGGTGGTTGAGCATGCATAGGCAGCCATGGCAGCCACAATGCTGGAAGCCCGGCCATGCCAGCCATGCTACTAGAGGCCTAGCTATTGCACCCTGCTAGTGCTTAAGAGGATTATATGGCATCTATATTAATTTATATTTTATTTCAGTTTTATAATAGCGCTCCACATAAAAAATGATATTCTATTCTAGTTCTGTACATTTAGTATGCCATAACATTATCTATATTAAAATCTATATTATTGAAAAGTATACTATATTCTAATTTTAGAATAATGCTTAACAGAATTAGTCTAGTTTAGCGCTCCACAATGTTGTCATTCTATGTACAGCCACTTCTTGTATGGAATCACAAGTACGGCTAGAATTGCTTGGTCCTGGCATCGTTTTTCAAGTAAGAATCTCCGCAGAAAACTGCTGCACTGAAGTCAGGCAAGCACTCTTCATAAAATTTAAAAAGAAATAAAAATCAAATAAAAACAACAGGAATCCAGCGTGGCGTGAAGGACATCATCTAACACATGGACAAAATTGAACGAGCTGAATGAAGATGGCGAGTTGAGGCTTGTGCAAGTCAATTCTGTGTCTACGCTTTAATAAATAAATCAATTTCCTAGGGTTTGTGCGAGGCGAAGAGATGGCGGCGAGGAAGCATGTGTGGGGGGTGACGGATCCTTTTCGTTTTCCGCCGAGCGAGTTCAACTTTGGGGTGCTCCAGGCTGTGGAGCCGTTCCTGAATATCCACCGCCACCAGGCGGCTGTTTCTCAGCTCCCCTTCGACAGGTTCAAGGGCGGGAAGATGAACGCGGATGCGCTCGATGCCTGCCTTCACCTGATCAGCGCATCCATGGCAGATTTCGAGAGGTGAGTTCTTTCATCCCTGCTCGCAACCCCCAGGTTAACCTTGACCTGTGCAGATCGTACAACGAACGCATCACAGAGCTCAACTTCCGACCCAGGCATTTGGAATTGATTCGTCAGGTTGAAAAATTCACCACGCCAACTGATGCAGAGTACAATTCCTCTTTTCTAGAGTCCATTGCAGATGGTGACGAAGATGAACTGGATCAGAAGGGCTTTGTCATTCTCCTTTCCGGGGAGAACGATGCCTTGGAGGAAGTTGAAGCCATCTTGCACGAGGACAGTAACGCATCGGGAAGCGACAGCTCAAGCTCGGACGGAAGTCATCTCGACACGGAAGCACCTCCTCAGGGTCCTTACGATGTGGCAGATACTGGCCGGACCGACGGGAGAGCGTTTGTGTTCAATGAAGGGCCTCGCAAGCGAACAGAGTGTGAGGTGGAACGGCTTCGCCTGTCGGCACAGCGATGTGCCTTTATCAGCGAGTTCAAGCCCAACGAGACGTGGGAAGCAATTGCCCAGGCTGCAGCTTGTGCTCGCCCTGAAGTCAGGTGCAACTTGTCGAACAGACACTACAAACCAAGTACTTTTTTTTTTCATGTTTTCATTCATTTTTTTTCTTTTCATGCAGTGTACTTGTTGGCCCTCTCCAAGCACAAGTTCACGTATGCAATTCTGAAAGCTGAAGGTCAAATATTGGCGGGTGGTAACAAAGTCTCGGACAGCGCGTATTCGGGTTTCGTTGTGTTTTTTCGTTTTTCATGTTCCGAATTCTTACCCGCGTCTTTTGGTTACAGATTTTGTGGAGACGACTCGACCATCAGGACAGGCTCCAACTTCAAAGGCTGTCATTGACAGGATGTTTGCTCTTGGGACCAAGTTTCTGCGTGAAAACTACCGGGAGAAATCGGGTGCAAAATACTTGAAGCGGCCGTTCATCGTGGGAGACTTGTACATTGCTCCAGAGGTGAGGAGGCTTTACTTGACACGGCTCATAATCTGCTCGTTGGTGTAGTGGTATCCACTTCCGAGTAATGAAGTTGACGGTGGCTTTTTTTCGTCCGGGGCAAAAAAGTTTTATGAAGGGCTGCTTCGAATTGCTATAGGGGACGTGGTGCTGAGGTACACGCAGTATGACCTTCTCAAAGCCGCTGGAATTCGGATGGCGCAGAGCTTGAAGCAGGGCGCTCGAGGGGGGGCGAACATACACAGGGTCGTGATGCTTGACAGCATGCTCCAAATGATTGCCCTGGCTTGTCTCGGAGGAAATCATTACGTTGAGCCTGACCCGTCAAAGAGGAGGCGCCTGTCACACGAAGAAGACGAGAAACTGTTAGCATTTGATAAATAGCTAGATAGAGTGGCTCTTTGTTTTAGTATAATTTCTTTTTAAGTTTGTCGATAAAACTTGTCTAGGTTCTCAAGAGTATTCATCCATCAACTTCTCGAGGCTCTCCTCGTATTGTTGTATCTGCAACAATCTTGCCCCGTTTGTAGAGAAAAGAAAGAGAGACCTGAATAAATAATATAGGTGTAGTTTTACATTAAACACGAGACAAAGGTAAATCAAGCTTCCCTTTCTTTTGTACTTTATAAATCACTAGTAAACTGCCGCACACCTCCTTAAATATAACATCTCTATTCAATGAAATTTTGCATAGTGAAGACAGATCCATGTTTAGTAATGCTTGCTAAGTCTAAGTATAAAATCTAAAGTAGCACAAAATCCATTTCCATCTCAACCAGTGAACCTGTGACTATCATGAAAAGTGAGTTGTGATATGGCCGTACAGTTATTCAAGCTCGAGAATGGGTGGATAGAGATGCAAGGGCCGACCCTAGAACAAAACAATCTGCCTTTGGGGAACTTAATCTTTACAAAAAAAAGAAGTATTTTCTATATAATATAAATCGATTTGTTTTCTCTTATCTTGGAATGAATGTGAGTAGTTTCTGCCAACCACAAGCAGAAAAGGCAAGAGTCTCTCAAAACACATAAATATGTACCTTGGCAGCTGCCCTGGCTTGCAGCAATATATCATTGTCTTTTCCCAGGCGAGCCAACATGAACTCCAAGTGTGTTCCTGACAGCCTTTTCCCGAGTCGTTATAGGGTGCGCACTAGCCTTTGTCAAGGTATCCATCGGAGATTAAGTATGTTGTAGACAAGGACCCTGCAAGGTAATGAGGCATTGTTTTCTGATGTTCTTAAGGTTTTATGTTTCTAGTGATGGAGGCATGAAGAGAAAGCTTGATAATAAGGACATTAAAGAAAAGATGTTAGCTTGTTTCAGTCGGTGCGAGGTGAAGTTGCAAAAGTTTATCCTATGCATCAATTATATGCCACTCTGTATTTGGTACCTCTATTAACTTTCTTTTTGTGAATGCTTAAACTTTAGCAATGATTGCATTTAACATTGGCAAGCACAAAATCTTTCAGGACACTGGATAACTTTGAAAAGAATCTAAAAAAAACTCTGAGAAGTAAATAACTAAGATTGCGTCATGGAGAAAATTTTATAAAGCTGGCATCTGTTTTCAGTGAGAGAAGGCTAACCTTGTGATTAGCCTTCTGTCATAACTCCAAGGTTTTTAAAAGGAGGGCCATCACATGTGAGAAGGCAACCAAAACAAGCTACCATCTTCTCTTTAATGTCCTTTCTCTTCACGCCTCCATCACTAGAAACATAAACCTTAAGAGCATCAGAAAACAGCACTCAACCTCCCACTCCGGAGATAGCTGCTAGCACCGGTTGCCACTTTCGATCCCACCCTGCTCCACTCTACCTTGTGATTAGCCTTCTCTCGCTGTTGAGCTCATAACTCCAAGTTTTTCCAAAGGAGTGAAGGAGTTCCTTTAAAACTATAAGTATGTGAAACACAACTGTACATCTGTGCAATTTCAACATAGACTTTTAGACTTTGTTAGCTTCCTGGTTTATTTATTACTAGCATCTGATTTCAGCGCCATCATCTTGTCTCTTTAGCCAACTTGAATCTGATTGAGACTTGCTAAGAGGTTCTTCAATCTAATTCAGGTGAGCGATGGCAACGATTGATGAGTGATGAGCAATTGGCATTGGTCCTCTCTCTAGCAAACGTAAGACGCTGGGCGGTTGGCAAAGCCTTCCACCACCAAACACCAGTTCCTTGTTTTAAGAGTTGTTCACTTCCGTCCAGGTTGTTGCTTTGATCGTTAGAGTCCAGAGCACAAAAGCCCTCACCTTTTCAAATCCTACTCTCTTCACTGCCAGATCCTCTCAGCGCAATTTGCCTTGCACACTGAAATATCTAAAATTTTCCACCAGAGCGCCTAACCATGCAAAGCGAGTGCTTTGAGATCTCACCACCATCATGGAAAAGACCCTGGTGACGCTCCAGCCAACTTCTTCCATCCCGGATTGTGCACTTGAGCCCTTGGCTGCCACCCTATCAATGCTGAACCGTGCTGGCAATCACAACGCTGACATAGCGCATGTTTCACAAATTCCAGCTCCCAGAAATACAAAAGTGTAATAGAAATTGTCTAATGGCATCAAATGTGGCTGAGGAGAGGGAATATGTCGAGCATTGCATTCCAGGATGCCATGTCCATCGCTTAGCGAAACATGGACAATCATGAAAGATACCAAAGCTACTCTAGTAGAGCTTTATAGTCTAAACATAGTAAGGTTTGTGCTGGGAGTTTTAGATGGATGATATCTTCTAACACAATTGTAAATGTTAATAGAATAGAGGAAGAATATGTTTAGATGTTTGCCCCACATGGAAATTTGACACCTTTGGCAAGTAAAATAATATTTTCTAATACTGATAATTAATTTCCTTATGAACAAGCATTCCTTTCTCAAACAACAAAACATCAAATACGAATTTGAGTTCAACTAAGGAAAGTTTTTACATTGCATTTTCAGACAAGATTGCATAACACACATACAATACAAGCACACATTGAAAATGTTAACACATTCAACAATAGAGATAAAAAAACTATTTCTAAATAACAAGGGAAACCATTACAAGGTAATCATAGGAAACCTTCTTATGGGTGTCTAGACTTTCAGAAAGGCATATCTACTGCTGCAAATATTTGATTTACTTCTACCTCGATTAGTACAAAATGGATTTTACAGACATGAGGATTGTGCAAGCAACTTTTCAAGGAAACAAACATGTTACATCATTAGCCATGCAAAATGAGAGGTGGTTTAAATAATGAAAGTCCTTTCTGTGCATTCTTAATTAAGTATTACGTTATTCTAAATAATAGTATTTTATAGAAGTTTTTGTTATTATTAAAATAATATTCTATGAATATTCCATGACCGGGCTTAAGAAATACACTGTTATTTAGCAGGTCCCAGTTGCTCCTCAATTGTGTATGGTGCTATGTAAGAGCTTGGGCCATATCACATCACCAAATGGGGACTCTTCGCTAGGAACAAAGAAGGATAATTAAGTTTTCAAGTTTTCTCTTTTCTCGTGTTTTTGCTTTGCATACAGTTGCAAATGTCTTGTTTTTGGAGTCCCCCACAGGAGTTGGCTTCTCTGACCCCAGTACTAGCATCACTTTGAGGTTTCCAGGAGATAACACAGGTAATGTTTCAGTACTGGACATTGCTACTGTACAGCCAGGGGTTCTTATATGTCTCTTGAGAGATGGTTGGAGCAGACAAGAACAGAGATTTCTACATCACTGGTGAAAGTTATGCGGTCGCTATTCGTCATGAGCTACTTAGGCAGTCCTTTTGTTCTCACCGCGAGTGTGAACAGTGGAGACGTCGACTCGGTTGCTTCACGATACTCACTCAAACTTAACATTAGTAAACCATGGTATCCATGGTAGAAGAGGTAGCATTTGGAGCTCTCAAACTTTTCGTTCATATCTTGTATCGTCTCTTCACCATTTACCATGGGCTGACATTTGTGACGGTCCGAGGTGCTAGTACCATTGTTCCAACCCGGCCGTGCCTTCACGCTCATCAAATCCTTTGTGGCTCGAAAGCCAATGCCATCGTGAGAGTAAGCTAGCTGCATAATTCTTGGTTTTATTTTATAACCAAACTGTGATGGCTCAAAACCTCACAAAGTGAGAGTAAATTCGCTTACCAAGGCATCTCTGTTGAGTTCATTAATTATGGCTCTAGCAGATCGCCGCTAATGAGGCTTTGGAACGTGTCCATCTACAGCGAAGTTCCTGGTGGCCGGCGGAAGAGCCAGACGCATCCCATCCAGCTCTGGTTTGGCGATGATTTGGCAGCCAAGACGTGATCTGGAACACCAGAGGTAAAGTCTTCTTTCTTTCTCGTCCTCATTGAAGTGGAACTTACGTCTCTGTGAGCCCGAACGCCAGGTCGAGCATATCGTTCTCTTCGTCGGATGGCTCTGGCAACTTCTGGTAGAGCTCCTCGTCCTGACGATCGAAAGAAACTTAGCGCGACAAGAAAGCGACGATCTGGAACTATACCATGAAGATTACGTGACAAGTCGAGCAGGCTAGAGATCCCTCGCAAGCCCCTGACACAAATCCGAGGTAACTATGCTCAATCCATTGCTAGAGCAGAAAAGAGAAAGAGGTTTACCTTCCAGCTCGATCTCGTTCTCGTGAGCAGCTTCTAGCATCGACATTCCAACGGGAACTTGGATCGATTTCTCGCTGCCATTCTTGTCCACAAAGGTCACAGAGATCCTGGAAGAAGAGAGAATCAAATCACGAGAAGTTCGTACCCAAGAGCTTACTTTGGTTTGTCTGGTTCACTGGCGGCACTGGGTGATGAGAATGCGCGCGATCGGAGACGACTGGACCACGGCTGGCAAATTTTCCAATCCCATCACAAGAAACCTAGCCTCCACTTCTTGCTTCGTTACCTGGGGCGGACGCCTAGAACCTAGATCATGCTCCTGTGGCGCGGATGATCGGTGGCACCACCAAAGAGGCGATTCACGACGCAAATGCGAGCAGCGCTGTGCCAAGCTCCTCCTCGCGGCAGCACTCAGCGACATCCCAAAGTGTACGGGCCAAGATTAGGCGTACGATATGGTCCATTTTACGCTATTCACGGTCTTCGTGCAAATGAAAGTATACATCCCAGGAAAGGTGTTAAAGCCTAGTTTCATTTTGTATTTAGTCAGCTGGTCATTAGTTACTTGCTAAAGTATTTTTTCTATTTCCTTCGGCAATTTCTTGTAGCAACATTAAGTTAGTGGGATACAGGAATATAAGTTGCTCAGTTTTAGCCATTGTGTTCCTTGTTTGTGCCTCATATTGTCTCTAATTCTTGAACAGCACTCGCTAAGAGAAGTCCCCCGTTCTTCACTCTCATCCATTTCCTTCGGAATTTCTACACACAGGAAACCAGATCATGGGTTAACACTCAAATGGATAGTTTTTGAAAAGAGCACTAACTTGCATCCGCTAATGGAAGCAGGCAGGCTTGGGATCGGGTAACGACCTCCAGAAACGTTGTTCAAGCCCCACATGAACAACGGAATGGATTCAAGAAGCCCGGCATCAATAACTCACCCCTTTTAAAAAAACCCTAATTCATGAAAAAGAAAAACCCAAGAACATACCCGCAAATATCTCATGGAGATTGCTGGTAAGAGCGCCATAGGCTTGAGTCCACTGAAATGGGAACGAATGGAGCGGGCGGAGCTACTGCAAGAGCGATTTGGCTGCAAGGAGCTGGAATTCGAGAGAAGCGATGGAATCGTTGAGGCACGGCTCAAGCTCGCCTGTGGCTCCGCCGCCACGATAGCACTGCCGCAAGGCGTGGTTACATCCTACAAACCGATAATGTGGCACGAATCTCAGGAAGAAGTCCTCCACTCCAAGAGATTTCCACTGCAAGGGGGCTGCTGCGCCTACAAAGGAGGAATCCGCGCGTCAGTGGCAAGAATCCCAGAAGTAGAAGATGGTGAAGAAACCAAGCGCGCAAACAATCCTCCATTGTCATGGATCGTCAATGGAGTCTCAAGAGCTCCCAACAAATGGGTCAAGGTAGAGAGAAGTTCCACTATGGATCTAGATTTTTTTCTTTTTATGTTTTAGATCACACTGGGCTCTGGCCTGCCAAATCTCAAGCTCAAGAACAGCGTCACGCTCTCCAAGCAGCAGCTTCAATCCACCTTGTCGATCGAAAACACTGGCAAAGTTCCCTGCTGCTTCCACGCATCCATCGCCACTGCGGTCGAGATTGGCGACTTGGCTGGAGCTTACGCGATGGGCCTGCTGGGAACCAACTTCCTGTCCCTGGGAGACGAATCCATCGCCGAAAACACCACCGCTGGCGAAGAGCAGGGCCCCCGGATCTTTGAGAAACTTGCAGTGCTGCTCAGTGGAGGATCGTACAAGCGCCCGGAGAGAGAATCCCAGCAAGGCGACGAGAGCTTTGTCGGCAAAGATGGTCGGCTCTGGCACCGCCACTGCTCCGAGATGGCTCCACTAGCACCTGGAATGAATCGCCTCTACTTCATGTCCTCGATGCCGTGGACGCTGCTAGATCGAGTAAGTTGACGATCGATCTTCTCAACACTTGAATGCTTGTTTTTGACTGCCAGGGAAAGCGCCGCTCGTTCACCTTCCAGAAATCGGGACTGAGGTATCTGAACCTCTCCAATCCGGGGCCAGAGTCGCAGGAGGAAGACTGGAAAAAGTTTGTGCTGCTAGGCCCAACTTCGGGTGAAAAGCCGCTGTGCGTAGAGCCTGGACAGACTTGGATCACTGAGCAAGTCATCGAAAACACTGGCATCTAAGAAACTTGACAGCGTACCCCTCTTCTTGTTACGGGATGATCCGAGCTGCCCGCATTCGATCGATCACTCGTGTCAGTGACGCTTCCGTGTCTCTGCTGCCGTTGAATCCAAACTCCCGGCATTTGCTATTGCTGCTCACCAGACGAAATGGAAAGTTGAAGGCTTCGTCTAAAATCCTCGCCACCTTCCTCAAGTTGGTCGTTGCGTGCAACCTGTTGGATCTCGTCATCTCCTCCCACACTTCTTGCTTGTCTCGCAATATCTCCTCCATGCTCGTCGGGGAGCCACTGTAGACAGGCACTTGGAGATCAAACTTGAGCGCCACCGCGTGCCACAGCTCCTTCCACGTAACCAGGTCCCCGTTTGTCACGTTGAAGGCCTGGTTCTTGGCTCTGGCGTCTGTCGCCGCCCAGATCTGTTGCTCAGCAATAAGCTCCGCGTCCGAAACGTCCGTCTTGCACTCCCACGCCTCCGAGTGTCCAGGAAAGACAAACGGTAGCCCCTGCTGCTTGCAAATGCTGGCATAGACCGCTACCGCATGAACTAGGTTGATGAGGTTCCTGGGAGCGAATCCAAAGATGACACTGGGCCGGTGGATCGACCAAGTGAGACCCTTCTTCTTCTTTGCAGCGTCGTAGACAATGTCCTCGAGAGTGTAGTAGAAGTTTGGAACACCAAGCCGGGGGCCGTCCTCGACGAAAGGGAGCTCTCCATGATCTATCTTCCCCCACAGGCTCTGCGGGCCGATGTAGTGCTTGGAACCAGTCTGGAGACAGATGTGTTCCAGCTGCTTGGCGTTGAGAAGCAGCGCGTCCAGAGCATTCGAAAGCATGCTTCCATTTGCCTCGCAGTTGCCTTGTTCCTCACCGTCGCTCTTGTGGACCCAGACCACCCAGAAGAGATGTGTCACGTCTGTCAGCCTCGACACCTTGCGGAGTGTATCACTTCTATCCAGCAAGTCACACTCGATGTACTCCACCCCTGTATTCACAAACCAGCTCGGCCTCGGCCGTCGAGCAAGGCCATAGACCTTCCACTGGGACTTCGGCAGCAGCTCTAGTAGACTGTTACCAACGAGTCCAGTTGCTCCAGCCACCAAAGCTACCTTTTGTTCTACCATATTCTCCTCCTGCGTAATTAATTTCCTTCTCACCCTCCTGTGAATCCTCCTTTTATCGCCTTCCAACGAATTATTGCGGACACCTGTTCCTTCCGAAATAGACCACTTGTCGATCACCTCTGAATCCACGCAATACAGCATTAGTTCAAGCGCCTCCTTTTCCTGCTATGTAAGACTTCCGAGTCACCACCACCCGAGGTGCTCCCTTCCTCGGACTCTCGGGGTCTAGCAACGGAGCTAACACTGTTTGAGCGCTCAATTGTCTCCGCTGTGGCAATGACAGCGTCGCTCGGTTGGGCGCTGACACCCACAGTTGCTGTTAACGCCACGGCTTCTCTTGCAGTGTCATGGAACCTCGCAGCCATGGACGCCGCTTGCCGACGGTGCGACTCAATCGTCTCCACCAAGCTCGCCAACCTCGCTCGGATAGCATTCACACGTTCCTCAGTATCGGCGCGGCTGGCCGAGAGCTGCCGCACGTAGTCATCCTGGAAAGTCGCAGCTCGTGCCTCAAACTCTCCCACAGTAAACTCGACCGGTTGAGTGCTCGCCGCTGTGGTCGTCATCGATGGCGTCCGGTAGTGTTCTCTTCGCTCGGACATGCGCCGCCGGAAGCGCGACGACATGTTGTCGTGCAACAAGCGCACCACCCTGCTCATCCGGAGCATCTCGTTCAAGTTGATCCGGTCTTGCTCGGCGTCCCGATCCTCCACTGGCACTGCTGTTGTCTCAGCTTCCACTCTCTGCCGCAAGCTATCCACCCTTCGAGCGTGAGGGCGAGGAGGAACTCGAGCTTCGTCGTCTTGCACGCTAAGTTCCTGTCGAGCCGACGACGAACTCCCTCTCCCATAGATCGGGATGATCGAATTCTCGCCAACCGAGCCTTTGCAAACCGGGCACTCCTCGTTCTCCGAGTGCACGTAGAGCCACTGGTGCAAGCAACTCCAGCAGAAGAGGTGCCCACACACCGTCACCACGGGCTCCACTGCCATATCCAAGCACACGTTACACTCAAAGTTCTCGTTCCCGCCACGCTTGACCACTCCGGTCTCGTCCTTGGAGGAGTCGTCCTCGCTTTCTTTCGCGGGTGCCTTGTCCTTGGAAGTATCTTGCTGTGGTTGCTGCTGCTGTTGCTGCGGGCTTCGCGAATCGTGAAAAAGCCTCCTAGATCTCTCCTCCAGCCCGGCCACACTCACCAGCGAAGGGCCGCGAGTCGAGTAACGCCTGAAGCGATGGTGCCGGATGGGAGGACGCATCGAATGCTCCACAGCCGGACGTATTCTAGCCTCAGAATCGCTGTCTGGATGAAGATCCAGGAACACGCCATGGATCCCAGGGCCAAAACGCGGCAAAATCCTGCGCTGGAGATTCCCACCCTGATTTTGGCCCCCTTCCCGTGGCTGTTGCTGCTGCTGCCGCTCCTCCTCCTCAATCCCTGGCCCTAGCCGCAGGAAATCGGCAGTGGCCGGAGGCGCCAGATGCAAATTCAGGTCAATCCTCGCGGAAATCCCATTCCCTTCCGCCATCTCTACATCTGCTCCAGCAACCACTACGAAGCTCGGCATCTCACCGCCGCGACTAGACTCACACACCTTTGATCCCCAGCGCGCGCTCGAGCTCGCGCGTCCCTAAGAACCCTAAAATCCGAGGGTTTCTTTGCCCTGTACGTTTAACACCCCCTTTAAAACTTAAATACAAAGAAATAAAGGAATTTCTCTCAGTGAGGCTCGAGGGCATCGTCTTCTTCCAAGGCTTTGTCCATCCATCGAATTCGGCAGCCCCGCGATTCCATCTCTTCCGCGATCCCGGGAGGGAGGAGTGTTCTCAAATACGATGGAAGCTTGACGTTCTTCAAGCTCTTGCAATTCTGGAGCACTGTCACGAAGCAATCCACTGTGACGTTCTTGAGGTGGACGAGCCGGACGCTTTGCAAGCAGCTGAGCCGGGGAAGGCTCAGCAATCCCGCCTTTGAGATCGGGCAATACGAGATGTTCATCTGGTAAGAAAAAAACCACCAAAGTTAGGATCATAGCAATGTGAAAGATGAAAGTTTTGTGAATCTCTTATTACGTACCATTCGGAGGCCGGGGCAAAAGAAGGACAAGGCCGAGACTCCAGCGTTCCCGATCTGGGAGCAGCGCTTTATATCGATCTCCGTGAGCCTCTTGCAGCCCGATGCCATCACGGCCAGGCCTGTCGACGAAACAAGCACGCAGCCGCGGAGCTCGAGGCGTTGCAGCTCTCTCAGCTGCGACAGCGATTGCAACGAGCAGTCTGTGATCTTGCTACAATACGAAAGATCCAAAAGCTTGAGTTTCGGACACCCGGAAGCAATTGCTGCCACTCCAGCGTCACCTATACCTTTGGACCTGTTGAAGAAACCACCAAGACTTGTTACAAAACCGACTCACAAGTGAAGTTACTGCTACCTGTAGAAGTCAAGCTCTCGAAGGTTACAACACCTGGCACCAATGTGAGCAACGCCTTTGTCTGTGATGGTGGAGCAAAATCCCAGCTTGAGGGACCTCAGTGCCGTGCACTTGGAAATATACTTGAGGCCTGAAAGCGAATCAATCAGTACTCGAGTCAATCGGCTCGAAATGATCAAACGTACCGGTATCACTCATGTTGCACTCGGTGAAATCGAGTTCTTCGAGACGAGGACAGCCTTCGCCGAGACCACACAGCCCATCCTCGGTGATGAGGCTGCACGACTCCATTTTCAAGCTCTCGAGACCCTTGCAGTCCTTGGAGATCCGGCACAGAGACGCGTCCGTCAGCTCCCGGCAGCACGTCAGGTTGAGCTTGTGAAGAGCAGTGCATCCTTGAGCAACAGCAGCTATGCCTCTGTCCGTTACACCTCTACACTTGCTTAAGCTGAGCTCCTTGAGCTGCTTACAACCCCTGGCGATGAAAGGGAGACCGTTGCGAGCAATCTCACACCCGTCCAAGACAATTGATTGCAGGTGATCAAACTTTTGAAAGGTGGCCAGTAGATCGTCCGTGATCTGAGCTCACAGGGGTCAATTTCTACATGTACGAGTAGATAACGTTGAGACTTACGATAGAGCAGTAGGAAAGTGTAAGCTGTTCCAAGGAGAGGTGACTGGTGGCCAGAGCTGCGAGACCTGCGTCACTGACATTGGAGCATCGAGAAACATCCAGCTTCTGAAAGGAGAGAAGTCGTTTACATCGGAGAAAAAGAGCACTCCTGACGTACCAGCAACGATCTGCAGCTCCTTTTCAACGATCTCAATCCTCCATCGTCAACATTGTTGCAAGAAACCAGATTCAGAACCTCCAGCGAGTGCAAAGTCGCTATGGATGCCAGGCCTTCGTCGGTCACCTTCACGGAACAACAAAAGCAAAAGCTCAGACCACCAAGTCAAACCAAAGACGAGAAAACCAGGACAAATGGCGATCTGCTAGAATCACGCCAAAGCAAAGAGAAAAGAGACTCACCTCGGTGTACGAGAGATCCAGTGTTCTTAGCTGCTTGCAATTCACGGCAACGAGAGCAATGCCAATGTCCGTGATCCCCAAGCACCCCTTGAGCGTGAGAAGCTTGAGCATCTTACAGCCAGCGGCCAAGCAGCCCAACCCAATGTCTGTGATGGAGTGGCAGCCCGTGAGGCGGAGAGCCTGGAGATTGGAGATTTGCGCGAGCGCAAGCACGTCCGAGTCCTTGAGATTGGAGCAGTAGCTCAGGTCCACGTCGGTGAGGGAGGCACAGCAGGATCGCGCCAGCAGCCCCAGCCCAGCGCTGGTAAAACCCCCAACTCGCGACAGGTTGATCGAGGCGAGACGATTTCCCGCGATCTGCCCTACGAGCGCCAGATTCTCGTCCACCAGCTGGATGCAATGCGACAGATCCAGATGCTCCAGCCGCGAGTACCTGTGGAGGATCCCTTCGAGAACTTCGTGGCGCATGAGCTGGATCCGGTTCCTGGTGCTGGCCTCGAGGCGCAGGAAGTGCTTGCAGCTGAGGCACCACGCCTGGCGGTCGAATCGATCCTCAAGGCGCTCCAGGATCTGGAGCAGAATATTGTCGTCCAGGAGGTCGATGACACTGTCGCCGCTGTTCTTGCTCATCTTCCGATCCGCCATGGGCGATTACCCCAAGAAATTCACCGCTCCAAATCCGCGATAACGGTCCACATAAACACTCCACCTGTTCTTCCTTGCTCCTCCAGTACTGCGCGAATTCGATTGGCCTACACTGCGACTCGTCAAGATCATCGGCCAAGTACGAATGCCTCCCCTGGATCACGCGCGCGCCTTGATCCGTGCGTCGGTGGCCTCCGCCAGCAAATCCCTAAGCTCCAATCCATGCCATGGCCGGGCCACCGGCGCCTAGATCTAGAGCAGCGCAAGTGGCGAGCGAGCGAGTACCCTCCCTGACGGTCCTGGCGGTGTCGATAGGTATTCCACCAGGAAGAGAGAGAGAGAGAGAGGAGCTAGGTCATCGATTAATCCCTCTCTCGCACTCCCGCATAGCTAGTACCAGCGAAGATCAAGAATCAAGAAAGGTAAATAAAAAAGCCCCACAATGCGTGTTGGCCGCAATTCCAGTGATTGTTTAATCCCTTGATAAGATGGTACGTACAGTACGTTGAAGGTGTACCTTCCCGCATGGTGGCCGTGCCGTCCAGCTTGGACCGCCGTCATGTGATACGCCCTCCCTGGATGGGAAGGTGACAAATTGGAAATTATCATAATAGTTTACCCCAGCTGACGCAATCCCAGCCGTTCATTTTGGTAGACGTTTCAAACTTCTTTTTCTCTCGGTGATTATCTTGACACCTTTGATTCAATGCCTGTGAACCTTCGCTCAAGATTCGGGCGAAAACAATGTTTTGCAACGCGAGAGAAAAACGTTAAAGCTGACGTTACAAGGGCATGTACTTCCATTGCCAGTATTTAATCTTTACTGCTCACACACTGAATAAGATGATCGAATCTAAACTATTGGAAACGATATCGCGGCAAATTAGTCAATAAAATCATATGTGGAGCGTATAACTTAAGATGGATCGTGGCCGGCCAAGTCAAAAGGCCTTTGAAATTCTTTTTCCGGAGGGAGGTGGTACCTCAAAGTACTTCACAGCTTTGAAATTCTTTTTCCGGAGGGAGGTGGTACCTTTCAAAGTACTTCACATGCGTGTAAAACGCAAGGGGGCCGCGTGGCATGACGCATATAGTGACCATTGCTGGCCATGGGACCGCGTCCACTCGAATATTCGACGGGTCCATGAAACCAGATCGATCGCTGGCATTTGATCAAAACCAATCGTCGACGAGATGAAGTTGTGCTCCACAAAGAAGTGCGAAAATTCGTCTAGATGCCGATTCTGGAATATTCCAAGCAATCAAGTTACTTAGTGGCAAGCACTCAAACAATATGCCTTTGAGCATGGCAGGCCACAAGATTCAAATCTGGATTGGCTTGTAGCATCTTATTTTAGATGCTTTTTTATGAAGATGATTTTATTTCAATCTATGAAAAACATTAAGGAATAGTTTGAAACAATAAAGAATTTGTTGATTTTAATGTTACACTTGCAAGGTCCATTTGCTTTCTCCTTTTTTTTTTTTTCCTTTCAGAATCAATCTTTATAGTGCTCTACATTATTTCTGAGGTGACAAAGAATAGGTTAAACAAATAAATTAAATTATCATTGTAAATAAATTATTATGTATATAATATATTTTCTTTTCTAAATGGAAAGTTATTATAAGAATATCTACATTAATAACGAATTTAAAAGTATATAGCATTTATGTCATAATATTTTGTTTTGTCATTTATTTGTGTCATTATCTGTTTTTCATTACAATAATTAATATATATTTATTATAGCTTTTAAATAATAAAATTTATACTATAAAAATTTTATGAATCTTTTATTGTAACATAAATCATATTTGTGAGTGCATGGAATATGGAAAAGGAATACAGAAAATGTACATATCAATTAACCCAAAAACTTTAATTTATATATAAGAGCAAGTTGTCTAAATTGAAAAGAATATAATAATTACCAAAATCCCACTATACTAATATTCGTAGCCATATACTTAGACTTCACATCATCCCCTCCTTTCGGAATAATAGAAAACCATCAAGGCTCTTTTATAGATAGGCTAGGATCTAGTGGAACATTAGGAAGAGGTATTGGTGGATCTATAAATGGTCTTAATTGTTCTTAATCTTTTTGTGCAAATTGTTTCAATTGTTATATATACATAATTTGTAAAGGATCACTCTATTGAATGTCATGCCAAACCTCATAAACTTGTGGTCCAACTTGCCACAACACTTAATATAGTCTTTTCCACTGAGCAAGGAGCCCTTTAGATAAATTACATATTATAAGATGGGGAAAATATACTAACACTAAGTTATTTATTTTGTACTCCACGAACGATGATGGGTTGTAGTGATGTTGTTATCCCACTTGTATATAGCCTAGGTGTTTAGTAGATTCTACTCGAACAAGTGGAAGAATGCTTGTCAAATATTAATCTTATGACCTAGCATCGATAGCTCGTTGCAATCATAAAAGTCAACCCAGCTCCTTTGGTAATATTGGATTATGACTATATAAAAGTTTATATGGTGAATCACTAACAAAACTTTGCACCCCTGTGACATATGCATATGAAAGAGATAGCAAATAACCATCTCAATTCTAATGTTGAAAGTTCATATACTTCATGATCATCCCTTTGAATGTCCGAACGAGCCGTTCCACCAAACCGTTTGATTGTGGATAATAAACACTTATGAAAGTGTGGTATATCCCTAACCAAGATGTCAAAACATGAAATGCCTCAACCATAAATGCAGAACCATTAGCTGAAAGAATCCACTCCGGACAAAAATGCTAAAACACTACTCAATTGAAGAGGAAATATCTAACAGCAGTTGCCGTTAGCAAGAGCACCAACTTCCATCTAACAAGTCAAGTAGTTAGAAGCAATAATAATATACTCATTGCCAACAGTCGATTGTGGAAAAAGTCCCATAAGATAAAACGCTACCAACTCAAATGGACAAGAAATTGCAATTGACTCCAACCGTCCTTCCATAGCACTAGAGGGAGTATTACAAGCTTGGCACCAAATGCAATTATGCATATATTAGATAACATCATGTTGCATCTTTGGCAAATAGAAAGACCCACATAGCTTCTCGATCAATTATGCACATATTAGATAACATCATGTTGCATCTTTGGCAAATAAAAAGACCTACATAGCTTCTCGATCATATGATGATGTCCTATATGCCCATTGTAAGCTCTTGAGTTTGGACTTCCCGGGAGGTCACCCAGCCCAGTACTATTCAAACCCAAGGACGCTTAACCCCAAATATCCCAAGACCCTTAACCAATTGGAAAAGGGGGTGCACTCTTATTTATGGGCCCTTTCCCTCTATATTTGAACCCCATTGACCGTCTCTCAAATCGTTCCCTTTAGTTGCTTACAATCCACCACGCTTCCCTGTAAGTTCACGCCCTCGTGAACGGAAGCTGAGAGCCGCAACTCTCCCAAGAGCCCCGCTCTCTTGACACCCTACCCCTCGGGAGCAAACTGGACCAGCCAGATGTCAATCAACATGTGGTGTGATTCCCTTAGCCAACCAACAGAGTCGGACCCGAGACCGCTCTGATACCAAATGTAGACTCCTAAGTTCCTTCAAGTCTGGTTCCTGGACCTCGCCCTTCCTAGGGGCTTGGGCCTTCCCTTCGGGATGGAAGTGGGGGGGTAGAGGTACCCATACCGGGCCGTTAGGCCACGGTGTTTCGCCCCGACGTCCCAAAGCAAGTGCTGCACCCAAGGCTTGGGATTTAGAGGGTCCCATGATCAAGTCTTGTGGTACCTTGGGGTGTTAGGAATCTGGAGGCTTGGTGTGCTTGGCTGCTTGTGCCTGCGGAGAGTGTAGCCGAACCTTAAGTTCAGTCTAACCCGGGGAGGGGGATTGGGAGAGATTTGGGAATCCGTAGATGGATGGCTAACACTTCGTTGCTCGTGCAGTGAGTAGCTGAAACCAAGTAGGACCAAGTAAGAGCTGGTACCATAGGCGAGAACCTTGGCGAGGGAACTTAGCACAAGCCAAGGCAGAGTTGGTCGGATAGTCGAGGTAAACTTGCAAATTGGAAAGGAAAAATTTGTGGCTTACACCCATCTAGAACAAGAAAATCATAATATGTATGAAGAAACTGTGAAATAAAGATTGAAGGCACCACCAACCATAAATAATCATCAAGATCCGTCCCTATAAAATAAAGAAGGCTGTTTTCAAGGTGATATTGAGAATGTAAATGTTGGAATGGCAAGTCATTAGCAAGTGATGCAAGATTCTTAAACCCTTTTCGAAGCATTTGAATCCATAGCTCAAACTTTTAAGCCTCACAAACCTCATCAAGAGAAGGTAAATCTTGTTCTGTACCTTGTAAACACTGAATATCAAGTACAGCAACTACCAGTGGTATAGAATCCTCATTTAGAAAATCCATAGATACTAGAATAACAAGCTCATTAGAAACATGAAAAGAGAGCAAAGAAGGAAAAGGAGCTCGAGAAAGGGCATCAGTATTACTTATAGAACTCCCTGGGTGATGAACAACATCAAAATTATATATCTGAAGCTTCAAATCCCATTGAACAGTACG